ATGCAGTCAAGCAGTGTATAAATTTCATGAAGCAAATGAAATTTGGGTCATTCTTAACATTGTTACCGGATTTTTTGGAAAGGGTGGGGTGGGGTTTCCCCCTCCAACAGGCACCATACCCCTCTCCAACTGTACCCCAAATCAACACCTTCACTTCAGCAAATGTGAATTCTGCAGAAAAACAGATAGATATTGAGCAGCTGGAAAGTGAGCAGAGGAGGGTGACCAGGATGATCAAGGGTCTGGAAACTAAGCCTTATGAGGAACGGTTGAGGCAGTTAGAAACCAAGGCTGATCCATATTATAGATATGGAAGATAACATCAAACAGAACAGTGTGTGTAAAAAAAAAAAAGGAAAAAGGGAGGGAAACACTATTTTGCAAAAGGTTTACGATGGAGACTTAGAGCTGACTCTTCCCCATCCTTTATTATTTATGGAGTGAATATTGCAGTTGTATAAGGGATTATTTATTTGACTGGAATGTAATTGAAATTCGTAAGATTTTGGAACGCAGAAATAAAATAATCAACCATCAATTCTAGCACACGGGAGGCCACCTAAATTATATAATTTTGTATTTGAACAATAAGTGTTAGTAATTGTATTATAGTTTGGTATCGTTATAATGAGGCTATTATTGGATTGAAATTGAAAATTAATAAAAAAATTATTATCGAATATGTTAGTCCCTTTTATTGCTTTGCCAGTGCTTGCCATTTGCAAGCATTTGTAACTTCTGCCACATAATTTTCAGGTGGAACTCAAATTGGGAGAGAAAAGGGTAAATTCAGCCTGCTCTTTCTATGTGGGTGGCACATTTTGTGGTGCATGCAAGTTTAATGGTGGGCCATAACATTAAAGGCAGACGCGTGGGGGACCTGCCTGGCCTAAGTGGTTAAAGGAACCATCAAATTCTCTCAGCAGTGAAACTGACCTCATAAAACCTCTCTGGCATGGGAGCACATGAATTCCAGGGCCATGGGCACATGGGGCACATGAATGCTTCATAGTCTGTTGTTTTTCTGCGGAATTCACATTTGGAAATATGCCCAGTCGCAAAGAGCACATACCTGCTTGTTTCCAAAGGAGTGCTAAATTAAATTAACAAGTCCTCAAAGAGGCAGGCCTGTTCCAGTCCCCACCTCAGATAGTCTCAAAGGGCGAGGAAGCCAGTGCAAATTTATCAGCAATTTCAGCAGATGTGTCTAAAGAGTGCAGCAGCTACCTTTGGGCTGACCAAATTTCTGGCACCTTGGCTGAGTGTCCTGGAGCATGCACAGAAATCCTTGATCTCCAAGGGAGATGTAGCATTTCAAAGACCGCAGGGCAAATGTGCTCCTGAGCATATGCAGAATCCTTTTCCTCTGGTGAGGTGTGGGGAACCTTTGGCCACCTCAGCTCTTGCTAGACTGCAACTCCTGTCAACTCCAGCAAGCAGGAGTTCAGCAACATCTAGAGGGCCAGAGGTTCCCCACACCTGAGCTAGAGACTGTGCAGGTATCTGTGGATTCTGGAGTCCCAGAATTTGCCTTAGGTATATTTTTTCATGGATGTTGGTGACTTCACCTGCCTGATGCTGCATAGGAGGTGACCTAGGATGAGATTGCTGGCAGGTACTCATGCTATGGCCTGGCTGACTTGCTTGCACAGTAAACGGGAGACGAGTGTGTAATCTTATCACAGTGAAGAATGGTAGCAACTTCCCCAAATCTCTTGCTAAGCAGCAAAAGTCTGTATTGCTGGGTCTGCCTGCTGGCAAATATAACATTGAATCACAATGGTACAAAATAACTCAGCAAGCTGACATTTATCAAGAGTTAAACAAAGGTTAGTGTACTAAATATTATTTCCAATTCTAGGTAGTTTGCTATTGGAGAAATACCATATATGATTATAAAAATCTAAAGCAAAAATTATTTAAAAATATGATTTCATTTCTAGATCAGACAAGATTTCTTCTAATATATATTTCTTTCTTTATCATATACACACAAAGCTTCTATTTTTAAACAGGAAATATTTTTGTAACCTAAGGTCTATTATACAAATCCATACAGATGTTCATTTTGTTACAGTTCTGTTAAGTTGTATACAAATTATAAAGATTCCAAGTTTTTTTATGTTCTGCCATGAGTCTATCATTTACTAAATTCGCGAGTTTTGCCATTACTTCATATTCTGATAGTTTCGCTTACCATACATCTATTTCAGGACATATGTCAGATTTCCATATGTTAGCGAACACACTCTGACTGCTGTGGTCATATAACTAAATAGTTCCACTGACAATTTCACAATACAGTAGCTGAAGGAGTCATTCCCAATGGCATAATTTTGGGGTCCAATGCAAATTTTGTTTTTTTTTTTACATTTTTTCATTTCGAAATGAACTTTCCTCCAAAACTTTTTGGTCTTTTCACAGGTCCACCATAAATGGAAGAAGGTTCCTTGAGGTCTATGACATTTCCAGCAATGTCCATTCATTTCATTATTCATCTTCTGTATATCTTTCAAAGTTATATAGCATTGAAAGAACATTTTTGTACAGTCATACCTCATGTTACGGCTGCTTCAGGTTATGTATTTTCGGGTTGCGGACTGCGGGAAACCTGGAAGTACCGCAACGGGTTACTTCCGGATTTCGCCACTCGCGCATGCACAGAAGCGCCAAATTGTGCCGGCGCCTGCGCATACGCGGTGCTTCAGAATGCGAATGCTGCGGGTTGTGGACGTGCCTCCATCACGGGTTACGTCCGCAACCCGAGGTTTCACTGTACCAATTTTGTTTTAGGGCTTAACTAACAGTGAATTTTATTCCTTTATTCATAATTGTTCTCATTGTTCCACTGTAAACTGCTCTTAAAATTTTTGCATCCATTTTGTCATATAAGGTTTTGCTTGTTCGGGCTCGGTGTCATATTTGAGTAATAGTTTATAAATTTTACCCAAAAAGTAGACCTCTGTTATGATGGACTCAAATTCTGTCTTTTCACTGATTTAACTGTTTGCCATACAGTCTTTCTTGAATCTGGATATTAGTTGACAGTATGTAAGCAGTTTCATATTTTTTCTCCTCTTTAATACTTCAGCATGTATTTGATCTGTTCTTGAAGATGAACCATACCTTGGTACAATATATAGTCGTACATTCTCCTCTCGGCACTAATAATAATGTTCCAGTGGTGACATTAACAGTGCTGCTAAGGGCATTTTTGTGATTTTTGTAGTGCAACTCATGATTTTTGTGGTGCAGGCTGTGCCCCTGGCTATGATGTGTGAATTGATGGTGAGTCTGGGGTAGCTCAATGCATAAAGCGTAAGGATCCATGAGGATCCGTGCTTCGAAATCACGTATTTGGGCCATGTAGTTGCCAGGAAGCCATGGATACATGATTTTTGTGGTGCAGGCTTTGCCCCTGGCTATGATGTGTGTTTTGACTGTGAGTTTGGGGTGGCGCAATGCAAAAAGCGTGAGGATCCATGCTTCAAAACCACATTTTGGGGCCACTGTATGCTCAGGATGCCGTGGATCCGTGATCTTTGTGGTGCAGGCTGTGCCCCTGGGTATGATGTGTGATTTGATGGTGGGTTTGGGGTGGCCCAATGCAAAAAGCGTAAGAATCCATGCTTCAAAACCATGTTTTTGGGCCACGGTGTCGCCAGAGGCTGTGAATCCGTGATTTTTGTTGTGCAGGCTGTGACCTCGGCCATGATATTTGATCTGATGGTGACTTTGGGCTTATCTTGTGCAAAAATCATGAGGATCCAAAAGGATCTGTGTTTTTTAACCATGTTTTTGCTCCATTGCGGCATCACGAAACAGTGGATGCACGATTTTTTTGGTTCTGCCTACAGACACATGGTGCAGAGTATCATGGTGTTTTTATTTTGTTTCAGTATAAAAATCATATGAATTCATGAGGATCCATGCCTTGGATCCATGTTTTTGTGGTGCTGCAGCGTGGCTAAGTGTTGGATCCACGTTTTTTATAGTCCAGTCTGTAGGCGTGCTTTCCAGATGTGATTTGACACTGGATTTGTTGGAGTTGTTTTTTAAAAAGTGGAGGATCCATGAGGATCCGTGTAGATCCGCCTTTAACCCAGACCCATCTAGTGCAAAAATCATGAGGATCCGTGTTTTTTTAACCATGTTTTTGCGCCATTGCGGCCCCACGAAACAGTGGATGCATGATTTTTTTGATGCTGCCTACAGACTAAGACATGGTCTACAGTATCAATGTGGTTTTATTTAATTTGAATGAAAAAATCATATGAACTCATGAGGACTCGTTTAAAATCATCTGGATCCGCCTTTTACCCAGTCCCGCTTATGGGCTGCTACGCCCTGCTCTTGTGAGTCGCTCGCTGCCCCTTGCAGGAGGCAGCGGAAGCAGTAAGAAACACTAGCTGGTTATACGGTTTTTCCCAAATGGGGAAGTTTGCCAGATAACATTTTATGAAACGGTTATCATAATGTGGACTTCGAACCCTGTTTGTCCCCCTTGCCCGTTTGACTTCCCTAAATCACTTTTCGAGTTTCATTCTTGGCGATGATGACGATAACACTCGCAATGCTTTAAAGAGAGCGACAGCGCAGTACTGTTCCTTCGTTGCCATTTAATTATTGATTTATAATCATTCTATTTTTGCCGCAAATGATCCCAGTGCAAAGGAATTACGCGTGAATGGCAATAGCCGCCACCCATCCACGCATCGGTTTGTGTACAGGTTTTGTGCTACTATTGTTTTACATTGTCTGTCATGTCAGTATTTAATGGAACACCTGAACGAACAAATATTTAAAAGAAAAAAGAAAAGCAGCCGCCGCCACTGAACCGTCAGGGAGACCTGGAGGGTAACCGCTTTCCTGGAGCAAGAACTAAGGAAAGCGGCTGCGAAGCAACAACTCCTCCAGCCCGCTGTGCTTTGTGAAATGGATTTTCTTTTTTATTAAAAATGAAACAAGATGCAACGGAACAAAAAAAGAAAAAAAGGATGTGTCAGAAGTGGGATTCGAACCCACGCCTCTATACAGAGACCAGAACACCCAGCCCCGCTCGCGGGAAGGCAACTCTATGCGTCCGCCTTGAGTCTGGCGCCTTAGACCACTCGGCCATCCTGACACTGCCGAGAAGAAGCACGCAAAGGGACTCTCAACCTCGCCGAGGCAATAGGTCTCGGCTTCCCTCGCTCCCGATCCTTTCCTGAATCCACAGACCCCGAGACCGGCCAGAGGGAGGCCAGCCACAAGCTACTCTTTCCCACCCACCATGCCCAAAAGAACTGGGGGTGCCGGGCTGGGTCCCTCGGCAATTCTTCCAGCCATACTATATTTCCCAGAATGCTCTTCGCGGGGGGGGGCACATGCGCAGGTCACGTCTTGCACGGCGACGGCCATTGTGCTCTTCACCTGTGCTTGTCAAGGACGCCGGGAGAGGAACTCTGAGGGGCTGAGTCCGATCCTGAGGCAGAGACATGTTTTTTCCTTTGGCGAGGGGAGCTCTGCGCTTCGCGGGTGAGTGTGCAGGGGAAGGTCGGCCCTCCGTCCTCCGCGCGGTTTTGGGTGGCGGCGGACAGAGGCAACCCTCCTCCCGACTTCTCCATACTGGCCGGGGTCTCCCTTGCTAGGGCCGTGCTCGGCACCGGGGTCTCGCGTTTAGGGCCCTCCTGCCTCGCCATCTGCTGTGCTCTGTGCTTCCTGGCTGCGTGGACGGACCTCACTTAGCAGCGCCAGTTGCTGAGCTGCGAGGGTCCTGCGGGAGGTGGCACCCAGGACTACTTGTATAGGCTGAAGCACCAAACAGCTATGTTGGTAGAGGTGTGGGGTTTTTTTTGGGGGGTGCTGCTAAAGGGAGACGGTAATGCAGCGCTTTCACGTAGCCAGGATTTATGCTGGGTGCGGGGAGCCTTTTTGTTGGGGTGGGGCAGAACCTCAGTTAGTTAAATGGCCATCCCGAGCATCGCACGTGGCGAATGAGATCCAGCTTTGCCGGCTCCCTCTTCTAGAGATGGATGTAAAAGGAGGGCGAGACGCAGACACTGCAGCAGTTTTAATGGAGACGGCGCTTTGCATTGCCAGCTGTAAATGAGATGCTGTATTCTCGTTTTTCCATTGACCCAGGGGGAAATGGCTTTCTCCGCAACTAGCCCAGGATTGTGTTCATTGACTGGCAGTAGCTCTCCAGGGATTCAAGGCAGAGGTCTTTCTCATCCTTACTTGCAGGCACTTGGGATTCCAGCTGTCCTTCTTTATTATTCCAAAAGAAGGGTGGTTTAAACACACAAAAGTACAGTACATAACACTTTCTAAGCACTGTACTTATTTTAAAAGATGAGATGGTTCCTACATCAAGCTCATAACCTAATAGACATGGTACAAGGTGACTGGGAAAAGAAGAGGAGAGCAAGCGCTGAAGTGGCTGCTTATTCACTGGTAAATCGATGGGGTTGCAATTGTCTGTGCCATAGTGCATTTTCTGGGAGTCCCAGGTTACCTGGTTGGGGGCAGAGGCCATAGCGCATTTGCCTTTGTTTATGCAGTCCTAAGAAAACCAGCAATTAGAGCTTAATAAATAATAATCTTTCAATTTCATTCTTGTATGGAAAAAGCACGGTAATGTGTGAGGATTCCCCATTGAAAATAAAGATTGTAACTTGATAGGATTGGGTCGTTGAGTATATATTTCTTTCTCTTGGAATTTTAGAGAATGACACATTCAAAGTAGAACTTCTTACCCATGCAAACTTTTGAAAGTGATGTTTGTTTCAAATGTTGGAGACCTTTGTTGGCCTCCTGTGAAAACATTTTGTATTTGGCAAATTCATCCAGCTACCCTAAACTACTTTAGTAAGTATGTAGGAATTCTGAATAGTGATGTCAGAACAGTAAAATAAATAAGAGATTTCATTCTGGTTTCCCCCCAAAAAATGTTTACTAATTTTCACAAAATTATAAACCAACCAACCAACCAAACAAACAAACATAAATCATAACCTTATTAAAGTTATACTTATTAACATTGTTAAGCGACTTCCTTGCTTCCCCTTGGTTGGATTAAAATGTATATCTTTTTAATGGTTTTCCAAATCAGAGTTCTTATAAACTTAACTTAGTCGTTTAACTTCCTTATATCTTTTCAATTTGAAATTAAACATATTAATTCAACACTTAACTTATATAAAATCCTAATACCTGCAAGCTGTTTCAAATTAATTTAACTTAACAAATTTAACTAACTAATCATTAAATTTAGTCCATTCTTCCTGATACTCCTCCTCCTTCTGGTCGTGGACTCTTCTGGTTAGGTCGGCTAGCTCCAAAAAATCCATCATCTTCATCTGTCATTCTTCCACAGTTGGTAATTCTTGCGTTTTCCACTTTTTAGCTAGTAAAATTGGAGCAGCAGTTGTGGCATACAAAAATAATTTAACATCTTTCTTGGGCAATTCCCGACCAATTATTCCAAGAAGAAAGGCTTCTGGTTTCTTTTTAAATGTATATTTCAACATTTCTTTCTTTCTTTTTTTAATTAATTTTTATTCATTTTTAAACATATTAATTATCATGCATACCACAAAATTTCACATTTTATACAATCTTTTTGGACATCAACACCTCTGATGATCCCCCATTTTTATCATTTCTTCTGCATTTCTTAAATTCATATTGCCTTTAATTATCTTAACTAATGTCTCCCTTTTTATCCAATTATGCATTAATTCAAATTATTCACTTCACAAAACTTCTTGCAAACCCACAAATGTAATCTGGTCGTCACAATTACTTTTCAAATAGTCCATAAATTTACACCAATCTTCAGTGAATCTCTGGTCCCGCCGTTTCGAATTCTTCCTGTTAGCTTGTCTAATTCTGCATAGTCCATCAATTTCATCCTCCAATCTTCTTTCGTGGGTAATTCTTCTTGCTTCTATTTTTGTGCCAGTAATATTCTTGGTGCCGTCATTGCATATAAAAACAGCTTACAGTCCTTTCTGTTTATATCATCTCCTACAATGCCCGGTAAAAATGCTTCTCGTTTCTTAATAAATGTATGTTTCAACATTTTTTTTCATCTCATTATATATCATTTCCCAGAAGTTTTTCACCTTTTTACATTCCCACCACATATGATAAAATGTTCCTTCTTTTTTTTTACATTTCCAACGTTTGTTGCTTACCTTATACATTTTAGCCAATTTAACAGGTGTAATATACCATCTATACATCATTTTCATCATTTTCTTTTAAAGCATTGCATGCAGTAAATTTTAAGCCTTCTTTCCATAATTTCCCCCAATCGTTCAGCTGTATACTATACCCAATATCTTTAGCCCAATGAATCATAACTGACTTTACCTCCTCATCCTTCAAATGCCATTCAAGCAGCAATTTATACATTTTAGACAAAATTTTATATTTATTGCTTAATATCTCAGCTTCAAACTTTGATTTATTTTCATCAAACCCTTTTTCTTTAAAGTCCTGCTTAAACATTTCATTAACCTGACAATAGTGTAGCCAATCATTTACATATTTAACTTCCTCATATGGTTTCATCTTTCATTTACCGGTACTTCCTTCTTTTTGTATTAATCTCCCGCAAGTTATCCAATTTCCACACATATTGATCTTTTTCACACTCATTGCTTCTAATGGGAATAACCAATGCGGTGCTTTTCGTTCTAATAGATTTTTATATCTATCCCATATTTCTATTAGAGATCTTCGAAATATGTGGTTTCCAAATTTTTTATGGATTTTTGCTTTATTATGCCATAAATATGCGTGCCAACCAAATCTACATTTTTTCCAATTCATTATAAATCTTTTCCCAGAAGTCTTTTACCTTGGGGCAGGTCCACCACATGTGATAAAAAGTTCCTTCTTTTTCTTTACATTCCAACAGTTATGATAAATCTTAGCTGGTTTAAAAGGGGTCAAATACCATCTATACATCATTTTCATTATATTTTCCTTTAACACAGTACATGCGGTGAACTTAACCCCTTTCTTCCACAGTCTTTCCCAATCATCAAGCATTATGTTATGTCCTAGATCTCTTGCCCAATCTATCATCGCAGATTTAACTTGTTCATATTTTGTATGCCACTCCAGCAATAACTTATACATTTTAGACAAATTTTTACCTTTAGTATCCAACAACTCCGTCTCCAACTTAGATTTTTAAGAAGATTTCATTCAGAGCTTTTCAGATTTTTCAGAGATTTCATTCTAAATTCTAATAGCAGGTGTAAATCCAGTGTGTAGTACCCTAAGTGGGGAGCATTAAAAATACAAAAAACCCCTGAGTCAAGTGTTACCGCAACAGATCCAATGGGAATGAGAGGCTGTGAGTTCTGAAATGTGGGTTCACTGATGTCTTTCAATAGCTTGGCTATAGAAGAGGCTCTCTTTTCCTGCAGAGAGAGGGACAGAGATAATAAAGTGCAAAGTGTGTGGGTATGGAAATGCATCGGATGGTGGACTTAGTTTCCCATTGATCACAAAGTGGAGTGTGTCTAAACGAGTGGATCCCATTGCAAACAAGTCATGCAACTTCACAATTTGCCAAGTTGTTTTTGTTGCAGCCATATATATGCACTGTAATATTCAAATGGTTTGAAAGTACCTGTGGTGGAGGTTGTAGTTCTTTCCTATTTAATGCACAAGTCATCACATAGTAAAAGGGGTTCTTAACTAAAAGTTTCATCTTGTGTTTTAGCTCGTGGCGTGCAGCGTACTGCGGCAAGACAAGTTCACCACAAACATGGGCCTGATTTTCATGACAAATATGGCAACTTGATTTTACTTGGTGGGGCTCTGTTTTGTGTCTCCATTTGGAGCTATGTAAGTATTTCAGCTTTGCATTTAGCTCTGTCAATTGGAAGTAACAATTCCTTCTGGAAAAGCCATAGGTCAGGCTATATGTGGATGAAATTTAATTTTACAAAAAATTAACAAATGAAAGCATCATCACAGCTCTTTAAGAAATCCCGAGAAATTGTGTAAAATCCTATACAGTGGTACCTTGGATTACATACGCTTCAGGTTACAGACTCCGCTAACCCAGAAATAGTACCTCGGGTTAAGAACTTGGCTTCAGGATGAGAACAGAAATCGTGCTCTGGCTGCGCAGCGGCAGCGGGAGGCCCCATTAGCTAAAGTGGTGCTTCAGGTTAAGAACAGTTTCAGGTTAAGAATGGACCTCCGGAACGAATTAAGTACTTAACCCGAGGTACCACTGTATGGTTACTCTCATTGCTTAGCATCCCGAGGTTGATGTACTGCAGCGGTGGTATGACACTTAAAAGATTTTGCAGGACAGATTTGCCTTTAAAGTGCAACATTAAAAAATATGTTGCACTAAGGGGTTTTTTAATTAAAATTTATAAGCCACTTTTCTGCCAAAGGAGGGCCCTCAGAGCAGCATAATAGTTAAAAGTTCAGGACACAGATTCTGTAATATGAATAATTTCAGCAGCATAAGAACAGAATCGACAATCAACTTTTTGGCCTCATCAAAACCAGATGAAATGAGGGAAAACATCTAAGCAACATTTTAAAAATCATATCTAGGTTAGCCTTCACCATTCAGAGGCAGGCTAATGAGGAAGAGGGCAGCTTAGTCTTCAGTAGAAGCTCCACAGTCTGGATGCTGCAACTAAGAAGACATGTGTGCCAAATAGATTATAAAGTCTTAGATTGGGAGCTAGATTTAATTAATATACAGTGGTGCCTCGCAAGACGAAATTAATCTGTTCCGCGAGTCTCTTCGTCTTGCGGTTTTTTCGTCTTGCGAAGCACGGCTATTAGCGGCTTAGCAGCTATTAACGGCTTAGCGGCTTTAAGAAAAGGAAACAAACTCGCAAGAACTCGCAAGACGTTTCGTCTTGCGAAGCAAGCCCATAGGGAAATTCGTCTTGCGGAACGACTCAAAAAACGGAAAACTCTTTCGTCTTGTGAGGCATTCGTCTTGCGAGGCACCACTGTATGGTGGTTTAGGTTATTCAGAACTAGGACATCAGTGGAATGAAGAAATAGTAAGCTGCCAGAACTTGAGTTCTGCCTTGACATATTGAAGTTTGGTCTGTGGAAACTGATGTATAACTGGTCCTTAATTTACACAAAACAATTTTACAGTTAAGCTTCATGCCTTCTGTTTGTGCAGCTGGTTGAGTGGTGTTGAGGGCTACACCAAAGTACAGGAAGTTTATAGCTTCAGAGAGACATGTCTCGCTCTCTGAAGAAAACACCTGTCACTGCTTAACAATATATAACACTACATTGCTATGTACCATATGTATAGAATACCCTTTTTAAAAATTACGTTGGATAAATCCAGATCAGAACGCTTCAAGAGAACTTAAGGGGCCATTGGTTATTTTTTCGTTGTTTCACTGATGGTATGTGCACATTGTCTCATTACAAAGAGAAAAAATATAATGGGTGTTGCTGAGAAAGGTACATTCAGCTGGTCTGCCTTTGAGGATCTGGCTTAAAACGTCTAAGAGAAAGTTGTAGTTGCAGCTGTTGGAAAGTAAGATTTCACTGTGCTTGACTGTTGATTCTTTACTTGCAGGTTGTAACACAAACAGGGATAGAATGGAATTTGTCTCCTGTTGGTCGAATTACCCCAAAAGAATGGAGAGAGGAGTAGAGATGCTGGGTTAAATCCTCTGCTGAAAAGTTGGGAGCAGCCATGGGTTCGCTGGAGCTTTTATTGGAATATACTAATACTATGCCTGTAGAGGACACAATTATCTGTGATTCAATAAATGCATTTAAACATTAAAATTATTGGCTTTGTTCCATTAATTTTGTCCCTTATAGCTAGGTAGAAAAGAGTACTTTGGTAGTTGTTGTCGTGTCCGACTCTTCGTGACCCCATGGACCAGAGCACGCCAGGCACTCCTGTCTTCAACTTTGGTAGTACAGATTACTAAACTGAATTGTTAAAATGTATTGTGACAGTAGAGTATTGTGCTTATGAAACTAAAAAAGAGCCAGCCCCAAAACAATTGGAGGCAGAATGTGACAAATGTTTGACATGATGTTCTTCATGGATTAGAATAACTTCACTAACTCTTCCCTCATTGGTATCTGGACACAATAAAATACACATGAACATGCACACAACATGCATAGAGTTACAATTAGTAAATGATATTAACATATTGCTTTATAAATAGGATTAAAATTTTATTTAATTTCTAAACTTTGAGAACAACATGTACAGTGACCACACTTAAAGTGTTTAGGGTAACTGAGATGTCATATGCAAAATATACACATGAACTAATTATCTGCCAAATTACAAATTATGTGAAATGCTGCAAGGTGGGCTCTGTGGCACTCTGGTAAGCATTTTATATTATGTCATTGTTTGTGTACCATCTGTTTTATACTGTAGGTGAAATAGTTTAATTCAAAGGACTAGAATTATCTGTGTTTTGGTAACAGACTGAGCTGCAAACAATGAATGTCTGCTGATATTTGTTTAGTCGTTTAGTCGTGTCTGACTCTTCGTGACCCCATGGACCAGAGCACGCCAGGCACTCCTGTCTTCCACTGCTTCCCGCAGTTTGGTCAGACTCATGTTTGTAGCTTCGAGAACACTGCCCAACCATCTCGTCCTCTGTCGTCCCCTTCTCCTTGTGCCCTCAGTCTTTCCCAACATCAGGGTCTTTTCCAGGGATCCTTCTCTTCTCATGAGGTGGCCAAAGTATTGGAGCCTCAGCTTCACGATCTGTCCTTCCAGTGAGCACTCAGGGCTAATTTCCTTAAGAATGGATGTGTTTGATCTTCTTGCAGTCCATGGGACTCTCTCAAGAGTCTCCTCCAGCACCATAATTCAAAAGCATCAATTCTTTGGCGATCAGCCTTCTTTATGGTCCAGCTCTCACTTCCATACATCACTACCGGGAAAATCATGGCTTTAACTATACGGACCTTTGTTGGCAAGGTGGATGTCTCTGCTTTTTAAGATGCTGTCTAGGTTTGCCATCGCCTTTCTCCCAAGGAGTAGGCGTTTTTTAATTTTGTGACTGCTGTCACCATCTGCAGTGATCATGGAGCCCAAGAAAGTAAAATCTCTCACTGCCTCCATTTCTTCCCCTTCTATTTGCCAGGAGGTGATGGGCCAGGTGGCCATGATCTTTGTTTTTTTGATGTTGAGCTTCAGACCATATTTTGTGCTCTCCTCTTTCACCCTCATTAAAAGGTTCTTTAATTCCTCCTCACTTCCTGCCATCAAGTTTGTGTCATCTGCATATCTGAGGTTGTTGATATTTCTTCCAGCGATCTTAATTCTGGCTTGGGATTCATCCAGCCCAGCCTTTTGCATGATGAATTCTGCATATAAGTTAAATAAGCAGGAAGACAATATACAGCCTTGCCATACTCCTTTCCCAATTTTGAACCAGTCAGTTGTTCCATATCCATATCCATATCCAACCAGTCAGTTGTTCCATATCCAATTCTAACTGTAGCTTCTTGTCCCACAGAGATTTCCCATAGAGATTTCTCAGCAGACAGATGAGGTGATCAGGCACTCCCATTTCTTTAAGAACTTGCCATAGTTTGCTGTGGTCGACACAGTCAAAGGCCTTTGCATAGTCAATGAAGCAGAAGTAGATGTCTTTCTGGAACTCTCTAGCATTTTCCATAATCCAGCGCATGTTTGCAATTTGGTCTCTGGTTCCTCTGCCCCTTCGAAATCCAGCTTGCACTTCTGGGAGTTCTCAGTCCACATACTGCTTAAGCCTGCCTTGTAGAATTTTAAGCATAACCTTGCTAGCGTGCGAAATGAGTGCAATTGTGCGGTAGTTGGAGCATTCTTTGGTACTGCCCTTCTTTAGGATTGGGATGTAGACTGATCTTCTCCAATCCTCTGGCCACTGCTGAGTTTTCCAAATTTGCTGGCATATTGAGTGTAGCACCTTCGCAGCATCATCGTTTAAAATTTTAAATAGTTCAGCTGGAATATCATCACTTCCACTGGCCTTGTTATTAGCAGTGCTTTCTAAGGCCCATTTGACTTCACTCTCCAGGATGTCTGGCTCAAGGTCAGCAACCACACTACCTGGGGTGTATGAGACATCCATATCTTTCTGGTATAATTCCTCTGTGTATTCTTGCCACCTGTTCTTGATGTCTTCTGCTTCTGTTAGGTCCTTTCCACTTTTGTCTTTTATTATGGTAATCTTTGTACGAAATGTTCCTTTCACATCTCCATTTTTCTTGAACAGATCTCTGGTTTTTCCCTTTCTATTGTTTTCCTCTATTTCTTTGCATTGCTCGTTTAGGAAGGCCTTCTTGTCTCTCCTTGCTATTTTCTGGAAATCTGCATTCAATTTCCTGTATCTTTCACTATCTCCCTCGCATTTTGCTTGACTTTGTAAGGCCTTGTTGGACAGCCACTTTGCTTTCTTGCATTTCCTTTTCATTGGGATGGTTTTAGTTGCTGCCTCCTGTATAATGTTACGAGCCTCCATCCATAGTTCTTTAGGCTCTCTGTCCACCAAATCTAAATCTTTAAACCTCTTCCTCACTTCCACTGTGTATTCGTAAGGGATTTGACTTAGATTGTATCTTACCGGCCCAGTGGTTTTTCCTACTTTCTTCAGTTTAAGCCTGAATTTTGCTATAAGAAGCGGATGATCTGAGCCACAGTCAGCTCCAGGTCTTGTTTTTGCTGACTGTATAGAGCTTCTCCATCTTTGGCTGCAGAGAATATAATCTGATTTCGATGCTGCCCATCTGGTGATGTCCATGTGTAGAGTCGTCTCTTGTGTTGTTGGAAAAGCGTGTTTGCGATGACCAGCTAGTTCTCTCTGCTGATATTGTCAGCTCTCAATCTGGACTCAAGAACCACCTGTTTTGGGAAGCCCTTGTATAAATCCAGAGAGAATTGATCAGCCTATAAACTGTTACGATGTACAGTTTCTCTTTTAATATAGAAACTGTCCATATGATAGGTTGTTCTTTAGATGTTTGGGGTAATTTTTAGAATGATGTAACAATGAATTTCTGTCCGTAGGCTTAGTATACCCTGTTACACAAAGACATCCAAGAATGGAATTTTCTTTAGATACATATGATATGCAAACTTGACATTATCGTTAATTGAGTTAATCCAACAAAAAAACAAAGACACCCTGGAAAACATATCCCATAATATCTGAAATACTTCTTAAAGGGGTTATGGTAGAATTTATGGTATTCTTAAGCTCAGTCATATGTAAACAGGCAGTGATGGAAGCTACTGGGTTGCCCATAGCAACCCCCTTTACCTGGAAAAAAGTATTAATTTTTTTCTGGAATAATGTCTAATTTTAAAAATAGGTTTGTTATCTGATGGATTGGGAAATTAAAACTAAATGTTGGAATGGCTGCCTCATGGTATAGATGTATAATTGACATTAGTGTAGTTAAATATGTGATTGTCAGTCTTTCAGCCTTTTATTGATTGAATAAGGTATGCAATATATAGTGTAGCAAACCAACTTTTCATGTTAACACTGTGAGAAACAAGAAAATTGACTAAACTTTAGAAACTGCCAGACTGCTGCAAGAAACCGGTAGACAGTTATATCTCTGCAACTCAAGAGAATAGCATCTTTCCCCTCATCAGCTGGGTCTTAAAATTTTAGTTTCATCTACAGAAAAGGGGATAACACAACACTGGAACATGCTCCATAAGGCCACTGCCATAAGGACAAGGATGCTTTCTTTTTTTCTTAAAGGGACATTTCTAAAGTGCAATTTGCAACAGTTATAGCCACATCCTAAAACAAGTTAAAGCAGTTCTAAGAGGATTAGATACTAGCTTTATTGAAGTGCACTCAAGTTTGTATTAAATCATTGCATAACAAAGGGCTGTTCTTGTTACTTGCAATGCCACCCAAACCATAAGAACAAGCTCCCTCATGCCTGGGCCCAGGGCAAAGTGTCAGTTCCTCAGGCAGGCTTTTAAGCATCTGTCCAAAGGCACCCTGCTGGATCAGGCCAATAGCTCACCTAATCTAGTAATCTACCTGTGGGAGGTCAGAAAGCAGGACCTGAGCACAAGGGCAACACTCCTGTTCTGAGGCTTCCAGTAACCGGAATTCAGAAGCATTACTGCCTTTGATATTAGTGGACAAAGAATACATCCCTCATGGCCGGTAGCTATCTGTGGCCTTATCCTCCCATCAACTTGTCTAATCCTCTTTCAAAGCTATTCCAAGTTGGTGGCCTTCGCTGTCTCCTGTGGGGGTGAGTTCCACAGTTTAACTGTGCTACGTGAAGTGGTACTTTATTTTATTCCATCCTGGATTTTCCATCATTCAGCTCTATTGGATTCCTATTCATTTATTATTTATATTTATTATTATGAGAGAAGGGGGAAAACTTTTCTGCATCAATTTTCCTTTTGTCTAAACTGAGCCCGCCCCCCTGCAAAGCTGCCTCTGCACACTTTCAGCCTTCCTTTTAGACCAGGAGTGAGAAACGACGGTTGGATTACAGTGTGGTTGGACTACAGCTCCCACCGCCCTTCAGCTATTCGCCTTTGCTGGCTGGGGCTGATGGGAGTTGGAGTCCAGCAGCGGGTTCCTTTAACGGGCTCTATTCTGTACCTAAATCTCTGCCTTAGAGGTTATTGAGGCGGGGCATCATGTGGCGTAGCGTCATCGTCCTTGTCACATGATCCTCCGTTCTCTTCCACGTGATTCCTTTTGCTTTACAGGCGGGGCGGAAGGAGGGAAACGACGAGCGCGATGACAGCGCAAAGTGTGTAGCAACCGTCGTTGGGAGGGGCGGGGCCAAGCCTCAAGGGGGCGGGGGGAACTTAGGGAAACAGGAGGGGAAAGAGTCCGCCGCGCTGTTTGCGGTCGGACGGCGCCTCTTGAGGGGCAGAAATCTGGCCAGGTAAGGAGCCTGTCCGGGCGGAGAGGAGCGCCCTCCTGCCACGTGAGAGGCCGGCAGACGGAAGAAAGAACAAACGAGACACCCCTCGCTGGCGCCTGAGGTAAATCGCTCCTCAGTCTACCTAGCAGGGTTGTTGTGAGGACAAAACGAGGAAGGGGGAAGAGCGATGTGGACCGCTTCGAGCTCCTTGGAGGTGGAAAAGGTGGGCTGCGAATGAATAAATATTATAATAGATGAGACGCATCCACCCCCCTTTCCTCCAGCTTCCTTATTCTCTTGAGCGGAGACTGCTGGGTGTGTAACGCCAATCGACCCCTCCGTGGAAGGGCTAGCGTGCTGGAGTCGGAGGGCGGCATGGGGAAGCACTCTGCACAGGCTCAAGAGCTCTCTTGGTCGGCTTCGCTTCCCTCTCCGTCATCTTCCCACAGCGCCTGTTGTGGAGAGTAGCTTTCTGGATTGCAAGCCTCTTGGGGCAGGGATCTCTTCCTTTGTTTAAAGAATAAACAATCATTTTAAAATTTCCTGTTAAGCAAACTTAATTAATGCACCATCCACTCACTTAGACATTTTTATTTATTTATTCTTAAAGGGAGAGCAAGTGAGAGCCAGAATATGTCCCTCAAGAGGCATCTTTTAGTTCATTTATTAATGCTGATGTAGCTGCTGAGTATGTCTGTCTTTAAAGTCGACCTTCCTGAAAAGCATTTGATTCTGCTTGTGGATGCGAGGCCCACTCCAGATATGCCCCACCTGTGGAGGTTTCATTCTGTCGGGTATCTTGTGCCTGGGTTTTAGAGATGTTTGCCCACCTTGGCCAGAGGATGGGGCCAGATGCTCTCCCCTGATTTGGTGTGTTTGGAAATACATGTTTGTGATGTGCAAAAGTTTTTGTTTTTGTTTTAGTCCCTTGTTGGCATTGAGGTGGTTTAGCAAGGAGAGCTAGCATATAGAAGAACACAGGGTAAAAGCCCCTTGATCAGTGGGATGCTGATGCTGCTTCATGTAATGAACAGGTCAAGTTTACTCCCTCTGTTGAATCAGCCTTGTGCAATCTGTGATATTAGGGCTAGTTACTTGTCTTCTCAAGGTGTTTAGCTTGTTCCCAGAGGACAATTATGTGGGACATTGTGGACTTGGTGTTTCTTGTTTTGTGCAAAACAGTGTGAACTTTTAATGAACATCTGAGGGATAATGGTGCCAAAACTATGTAAACAGAGATGATTGCATGGGATGGAGCATGGGCCAGGATCCCATGGACTACAACTAGTTCCTCAAGCCCCAGGAGTTGGAGCAATTTTGGACTTACTGTATGTTTCTCAAATAGCAATCTCTCATTCCACATGACAAGCTGTTTTTGTAACTGAGAGGTGTTTCCAAGGCAGTTTGTGATAAGGAGTAGGTGGCTAAGTCTGCTGATATATGAGAGGATGGGGACAGAATATGATTGGAGTGGTCTGAAATTGCTCTTTGGTTCCTGTTTTCTGTGATAAATTAATGTGCAAACAAAATTCTAACTACTCTTTCAATCACTGCTTCCCACTAGTTTTTTTTCCTTTCGCATTTATTTTCCATCCTTTTAAAACTATCCTCATCCATTTTTGTGCAAATATAATTATAGTCCTTCAACTGTTTCTTCTTTCAACATAATATTGGATGTGATAAATGCATTAAGTATAATGCAGTAGGAAAATGCTGTCGTTAAACTGAACCTGTAAGTGTGTACTAATTAAGGTAGGAAATATATATGTATGTATGACAGGTGGTCAGAAAAAGTTCAGGAAGGCTGATTAAAGCTGTTTCAGTTTCTTCTTACTTTTTTGTTTAAAAGCTTTATGTAAACTCCCTTTCATGTAAGTGTCAAAGTAATGTACAACAATCAAATCAACCACTTTAAAATTTCATAAATATACAAACACTAAACATGGAATCACTAAATGATTCTTCTCTTTTTGACATATGTGTGAGTGGCTTTGAAGGGAGGAAAGCTGGTAGAGTAGATTCTTCCTTTCATATGTAATTGCATAATATTTTGATCAAATCCTACACAGTAAACAGGTCACTAGACCTTATTAAGGTAATTATAGGGACACTTTATTTTGCTACAGTTGCATTTAAAAAACAAGCTGAACTACTTTTGTTCTTTATAATGGTACAGTTTAGTATATGCATGTTCTGTTGGTTTAGAAATGGTGGTAATGAATCATTATTAATGAGATCCAGATCTTATTCTGATAATATCTTATACAAGTGGAGAACTGATCTTTCTACTTAAACTCATTCTTGTAATTTAGGGTGATGAGCCAAGGCATACTTTCTTTTAGAGTAAAATAGTATAAAATACTCACACAACTTTTTTTAAAAAATGGAAGTGATATCTGTAATAGACGACTCAAATGATGAATATAGTGGTTAGTGAAGTTAAGATTGGTGCCTTACATGAACGTGCAGTGATTTCAGTGAATTGTTTTTCCGTGTAAAGTCCGTAACTGATTGAGCCATATAAGAACAAAAGAAGAGCCTGCTGGAACAGGGCAATGGTTCATCTGTTCCAACATACCTGTTCTCATAGTGGCCAAATAGATTCCAGTGAAAAACCTGCAAGCAGGACTCAGGCACAAGAGCCCTCTTTCTCTCCCGTGGTTTCCAGCAATTGCTATTAAAAAGCACTACCACCTCAGGCAGTGGAGGCAGAGCATAGCCATCATGACTAGTAGTCATTGATAGCCTTATTCCTAATGAATTTTCCTCATCTTTTTTTAAAGCCATCCAAGTTGTTAGCCATAACTGCTTCCTATATACATCAGACATCCTCCTTCCCCTTTATGTATAATCGAAAGGGGCTTCCTGGCTGTCAGTAAAGTTGTATGTGATGCAACATTTTCCACTACTACTAAACTTTTCTGATTTTAGAAATAGTTTCATAACATTGATAATGTAATGAATGAATACAATAAACATCAGATTTGACAACTGGAATGGACACAATGCTAGGTAGATCTAAAATAAAAATTATACTAAACTTTATATAAGTAGCTATCCCTAGAAAGCGCACAGTATATCTATGCACCCAGCTTTTCAGACATGCTAAAGTTAGATTGTTAACCACTTCTGGCGCCATCAGGGTGTCCTTGGGCTTGCTGATCGAGCTCCTGCCAACCTAGCAGTTTGAAATCATACCAGTGTGTGTAGTTAAATAGGTACCACTGTGGTGGGAAGGTGCTCGTCATGGTGTTCTGTGTGCCAGAAGTGGGTTAGTCATGCTGGCCACATGAAGCTATCTGCGGACAAATGCCAGTTCCCTTGTTTGAAAGCAGAAGTGAGTGCCACACCCTATAGTCAAATTCGACTGGACCTAACCGTCCAGGGTCCTTTAACTTTACCTTTACCTTTCCCCAAACAGTTCAGGTATCATCTCAGCTTAATAAGCCAAGATAAGCACCTCTAGGCTATTGATCCACCTGTCACTAGAGGCAGAAGTAATGTTTGTGTACAAGAGTGTCTTTATCAGTTTTGGCTGCTTCACCAGCTGCAACCCTATGTGTTCAGTGATAACCTTTCGTGTTATCTTTCAGCTGGTAACTTCCCATTTGGGCTACTCCAATGCATTATACATAGGGCAACTTTCAAAATGATTCAGAAACTTCAGTTACAGTATGCTGGTGCTTCACCATCTTCACTTGAGCACAGTCCAGCTCATTTCCAAGCCCAGTTGATGCAGAGGCTATGAATCAAGTGCCCCCACAAAGTGAGGTGTGGAAGGTGGCTACAAAAGAGAACATACTGTGACGCTCTTAACTGTGGAATGCCCTCCCCAGGGATGCTCACCTGGGACCTCCATGGTGTCATTTCAATGTTAGGTGGATACCTTCTTTAATTTCCTAGGCTTTTCATTTGTTTCATATGTTTTTACTCTTTTGCTTGCTTTTTTTAACACTTTTTATTTTTATTGAACTTCAATGTGTCTCTTTTTTGTTGTGAGATGCTCTGAGAGCTTTAAATAATTATATGTTAGGCTAGTGTCCTTACTTTAGTCATTGAATGTAATATGGAGAAAGGTGCTATTAACGCCACTTGAAATCTGTGGACAGAGACACTTAAATACCATTAGGTGTTACAAACTATATAATAACCTCATCAATACATACTACTAAAAAAGCAGTAAAAAGTACAGGGATGCAATAAAGCATTATACAGAAAGACAGGTTTTAGGGCAGGGGTAGGCAACCCTCCTGATATTGCATTATAACTTCCACCATCCCTGATCCTTGGCCCTGCTGATTAGGACTGAAGTTGGAGTCCAACAACATCTGGAGGGCCACAGGTTCCCCACTCCTGGCTTAGGGTTTGATTTTGTGCAAATGAGCTAGTGTGAATGAACTTGTTTTTGTGAAGAGTACTAGGAACATTGGACGCGGGTGGCGCTGTGGGTAAAACCTCAGTGCCTAGGACTTGCCAATCGTATGGTCGGCGGTTCAAATCCCCGCGGCGGGGTGAGCTCCCATCGTTCGGTCCCAGCTCCTGCCCACCTAGCAGTTCGAAAGCACTCTTAAGTGCAAGTAGATAAATAGGTACCGCTTTATAGCGGGAAGGTAAACGACGTTTCCGTGTGCTGCACTGGTGCTGGCTCACCAGAGCAGCTTCGTCACGCTGGCCACGTGACCCGGAAGTGTCTTCGGACGGCGCCGGCTCACGGCCTCTAGAGCGAGATGAGCATGTAACCCTAGAGTCGGACACGACTGGCCCGTACAGGCAGGGGTACCTTTACCTTTACCTTGCTAGAACATCAGCCTTCATCTTGGTTATTTACAGTGTTTGAAATTAGCCACTGACTATCAGCCACTCCTGCCAACCTAGCAGTTCGAAAGCACGTCAAAGTGCAAGTAGATATATAGGTACTGCTCTGGTGGGAAGGTAAACGGCGTTTCCATGCGCTGCTCTGGTTCGCCAGAAGCGGCTTAGTCATGCTGGCCACATGACCCAGAAGCTGTACGCCGGCTCCCTCGGCCAATAAAGCGAGATGAGCACCGCAACCCCAGAGTCGGCCACAACTGGACCTAATGGTCAGGGGTCCCTTTCCCTTTCCCAGCCACTTGAGGCCATATGAAGATGCCTGGGTGCCCGGGGGGCGCCTGGCGTCTCCACCACCTGGAGGTTCATGCCTGGGGATCTTTGGATTTTGACTGTTTTCACACACTAATACTACATCCAGTAGAATTCTGTCAGTTATATTTTATCTCCACAATCAGAATGAATTTCAGGAACCAAAATGCTTTTTCTCTGCAGCCTGAGCAGGTGTAGTGAACAATGTTAGAGTTACTGGTAATTGTTGTAGCTTGTCCTCACTTACTCTACCCCCACTGCCTTGCTCACAGTTGTAAAGAATGTTCTTATGTCTTATTAATGGTCTGTGTCACCATTAAGAAAAAGAGGTTGGAATAGGCCAATATATATGTTGGCTGTCTCTGGATAAAGCAACTTTTCTACTTTAAGTTTTCAAAGTTCTTAACCTAGCACAAGGTTGTCATCTGACCTAACCAGATGCTTAAGTGAGAATCAATTACAGTCAGTCCATCATTTGAAAAATGAAACTTTAGAGCTGTCTTGCCCCAAAATGGCAACTAAACATTCCATTTTTGTGACTGTATGCTTCTTTGTGAAGAATTTTTTTTAACAAGCAAGTTATACGTTTATTAAACTTAAAGTATCTCTGACAGGACTTGCTTACCATAATTTCATGATGCACAAAAATGTAAATGTAAATTGTGTAGATAAAGGACAGGATGCAGAGAACTGTACAACTAACTTTTTGTGCCCATGAGGGCATTAGATTACCGTACCTTATATTTCCAAAACAGCAGCCCCTTGTGCCATTTCACAGGACATACTTTGAAACTTAGTTGAGTTTTAAAAGTAAATTGGGCCTTCAGAAGTGTGCTAATGAAAGAGAACATAAAAATAGAACTTCCGGGGGGCGGCGCGAACGGTAATGGCGGTCTTCTCCCGACCGGAGAAGAAGCTCCGCTGAAACCGGGTCGTCCGCTACGGCGAAGCGGAGACCCAAGGAGAAAAACCCCAGGCAGCAAGAGCCTGGGGTCCTGAGGCTCGGCGGGCGCCAAGAGCAGCCCTCCAACTGCAGAAGGAGCCTCGTAAGAGGCTCCGGAGCGTGGAGGGGGGCTGCGGCGCTGTGAGCCGTTTCACAGTCAGCGGAGTGAAGCCGCGCTGCTGCTGCCGGTGAGCGCTGATCCCTTTTCCTGTTAAAATTCGGATCTGGAAGAAAACAACTTACTCGTGAGTAAAGACTGAATCACTTGGAATTACAAATTTTAAATGAGAAGGTTTAAATTGACTTGAATTTGGCTGAAAGCGGAGAGACGTGGAAACAGGAAGTCCGTCTTCCGCTGCCATTGAACTTGGAAAAAAAGCAACTAAAGTGGAGGAGTGGAGGCTGAAAGAAAGAGATTTTAAACTCTACACAGCCAAGCATCTATGGAACTTACAATTTAAAGTAAAATTAGCAAGTTAAAGATTTGGACCTTTTATTTGCACTTGACTTTCCCCCTTCTATTGGATTACAAATTGGAAGGTGAAACCCAGAGTCAGGATTGCTTGAGCACTGTAACAGTGGGCTGTCAGTGTTTGACTTGGATACTGTATATTAGAAGTTGCAACAATCTGAGGGTATTGAGACCTTTTAAATTTGAAACATTCTTTTGGAGACAAATAAGCACTGTCTGCAACAAAGTGATTACTTTTAAACTCTGCTTAATACTTATATTGGAAGGTTCTGGGACATTAAATCAGACTCTGAAAAGACACTTTAAGCTCCCTCTAGAGGATTGGATTAAAACAGTGACTTTATAAAAACATTTACTTTCGATTCTCTTGCTGTCTGCTTGCTCTGGGCCTCTCTATTCCTGTGGGAAAAACTCAGTGTGACCTTGACTGATAGATAACATTGGAATGAGTGGTACAAGAAGAAGAGGAAGAGTTAGACAAACAACTCTAACAAATCTAACCTCAGCCTCGCAGACACGTAGATCATCTGTGCCTACTTTGCCCTCAGAAGTACAACTTGAAGAAGCTGCCTTGCCACAGGCAAAAGAGGGAGAGGGTGAAGAAGAGCAGTTACAATTGGAAGATATGGCCTCAGGAGCATCTGTTTCTGTGCTAGAAAAATCTTTGAAAAATTGGAAGCTTTGGACAAGAAAGTAGATGCGCAATCAGCAAAGATTGATAAAAATACAGATTGTCTAAACAAATTAACTACACAGGTGGGACAGAATACACAAGCAATTGGACAGTTGACGGAGGCCTCAGTAGAAAACCGAAAATTGGCTGAGGATACCAGACAAAAATTGGAAAATTTAGAGCAAGAGGTAAGACCACTCACTAAACAAGTTGGGGAACATCAGACTTATCTTTCTATGATAGAACTGCGAAATCGTGAGAATAATTTGAGGATTAGATCATTACAAGAGGCAGAAGAAGGAAATCTAACTGAGTTTTTGACCAAAGAACTTTCCAAGTTCTGGAATTTGGAAGAAAAGGACTTTAAAATTGTGTCAGCTTTCAGACTTGGAAGATTTATAAAGAAGGAGAGGCCCAGGGATTGTTTGATTACATTGAGATCGAAGGAGGAAAGGGATAAGATTTTGGGCCTACATTACGAAAAGTCACTGGAAGTTTTGGATAGAAGAATTGAGATATATAAAGATATCCCAAGACAACTGTTGGACCTTAGAGCCGCCTATTCCGAACTTGCTAAACTATTAAGGAGCAACGCAATTCCATTCAGGTGGGATTTTCCCCAAGGATTATCTTTTACCTTTAGAGCGAGAAAGGTTAAAATTAGAACATTGGAAGAGAGAGATAAATTTTTGGCTACACACGGAGAGGACCTACATAAAGGAATTGAACTACCTTCCGGGCCTGAGGCAAAGCCAGCATCAATACCTCCACCTCGGGAACTTGAAGATCAAGAGAAGACACCACCCCAGGAGAAATAACCAGATAGATCCAGGATGTCTCTGCAACTGTTGAGTTGGAATATTAATGGTTGCAATATTCCGGAGAAAAGGAAGAAAATATTTCATATATTAAAAAAAGAACAATTGGACATTATTTGCTTACAAGAAACACATGTGACGAGGCTCCACAGAAAAGTGTTAATAAATAAAAGATTGGGCCAGGAATTTATTTCGTCGGATAAAGTGAAGAAGAGAGGAGTGGTGATATATGCAAAAGAGAGCCTGTCACCTAAATTTCTATTTAAAGATGAGCATGGAAGGATTTTGGCTATTGAGATACAATATCAAGGAGAGAAACTGCTGATATTAGGAATCTATGCGCCTAATGAAGGGAAATCGGAATTTTACAAGAAGTTGCAGGGGACAATGCTGGATCATCTGGATTACAACAACATCATAATGATGGGAGACATGAACGGGGTCGTGTCAACTAACATGGACAAGTCGCAAAGTCAAAACATCACAAAAGATGGCAGACTACCTAAAACCTTTTTGAAATGACTGACAATATGGACTTGATCGACATTTGGAGAACAAAGAACCCACTAGGTAGAGAAGGAACATTCTTTTCTGAAGCCCAACTGACCTGGACAAGAATCGACCAAATATGGATCTCTAGAGGCCTGGCACCTAGGGTTAGAAAAGTGGAAATCTGCCCAAAGACCTGTTCTGACCACAACGCAGTAAAGATGGACATGACACTACTACCAACTGGATCCTTTAGATGGAAGATGAATGACAATTTGTTTAGAGATCAGGAAATTACCAAGAAGGCCCAAAAAGTTTTGAAAGATTATTTTGAGATAAATATGAACAATTCGGTGGAAAAAAGAATCGTCTGGGACGCAAGCAAAGCTGTTATGAGGGGATTCCTGATACAACAGAATGTAGTAAAGAAAAAAACACAAAATGAGAAAAAGACAAGATTTTGGATAAAATAAAAGAATTAGAGAAGAAATTAAGAGTGAATCCAAAGTCACAGCCAACTCTGAGAGAAATTAAACTGTATCAAACACAGTATTCTAAATTGATAAATCAGGAAATTGAATGGAAGATCAAATTAATGAAACAAAAACGTTTGAGTCGGCGAATAAATGTGGAAAACTGCTATCCTGGCAGTTGAAGAGAAGACAAAGATTAAACACGGTTACAAATTTAGAGGTTGATGGAAGAAACATTCAGAATCCAGTGGACATTAGAAAGTGTTTCCAGAGATATTTTAAAAATTATATACCCAAGGGCCGCAAGACGAAGTTGAGATTAAACAATTTTTGGCAAAAATGGATTATCTAAACTGTCACAAGAAAATAGGACAATCCTGAACTCTAAAATAACACGACAGGAGATTGAACAAGCTATTCAGAACATGCAACTTGGCAAATCTCCAGGGCCAGACGGGCTGACCTCCAAGTATTACAAGATACTAAAAGACTATTTGATACAACCTTTGATGGAGGTTAGCAATGAAATTATGGAGGGGAAGAGGGCACCGGATTCGTGGAAGGAAGCGTTTATCACATTGATACCAAAGTCAGAAACTGAAAAGACACAACTGAAGAACTACCGTCCCATCTCCCTTTTAAATGTGGATTACAAAATATTTGCAGATATTTTGGCAAGTAGATTTTAAAAAGTTTTAAATGAAGTAATTCATAAGGACCAGGCCGGTTTTCTCCCAGGTAGACATTTGTTTGCTAACACAAGGAACATTATTGATATTTTGGAACTTCTCCAAACTGACATAAATACAAAAGCTGTTTTAATTTTTATAGATGCGGAGAAGGCCTTTGATAACATTTCTTGGAAATTTATGATGGGAAACTTAAAAGAGATGGGAGTGGGACGGGGTTTTGAGAATGGGATTGAGGCGATATATTCAGAACAGAAAGCAAAACTGATAGTTAATAATGTGGTTACAGAAGAGTTCAAAATTGAAAAAGGGACACGACAAGGTTGCCCTAATTCCCTTTGTTATTTATTTCGGTTCTGGAAGTGCTATTGAACATGATTAGAAGGGACCAGCTGGTGGAAGGAATTCAGGTTGGTCAGAAACAATATAAATTAAAAGCTTTTGCAGATGACCTGGTTTTGACCTTGCAGAAGCCAGAGCCTAGTACGAAAAGAGTATTACAATTGATTAATGATTTTGGTCGGGTGGCGGGATTTAAATTAAACAAACAGAAAACTAAGGTTTTGGGGAAAAATCTGACTGAGACAGAGTCAGAACGGTTTCAGAATGAGACGGAACTTAATGTGGTTAAAAAGTAAAATACCTAGGGGTAAACATAACAGCAAAAATCTAAGTCTATTTAAGGATAATTATGAAAAATGTTGGACAGAAATTAAGAGAGACTTAGACAGTTGGTCAAAATTGAAACTTTCTTTGTTAGGCCGAATTGCTGCGATTAAGATGAATGTATTGCCAAGAATGTTGTTTTTATTTCAAACACTGCAGGTATTGGACAAAATGGAGTGCTTTCAGAAGTGGCAGAGAGACATTTCGAAGTTTGTCTGGCAGGGCAAAAAGCCCAGAATTAAGTTTAAGATACTAACCGATGCTAAACAAAGAGGGGCTTTGCCCTGCCGGACTTAAAGTTGTACTATGAAGCCGCAGCGTTCTGCTGGCTAAAAGACTGGCTACTTCTTGAAGACACTGATGTGTTAGATTTGGAGGGGTTTAACAATGTTTTTGGATGGCATGCATATTTATGGTATGACAAAGTTAAAGCAAATAAGGCCTTTAAGAACCATATTGTTAGAAAATCACTGTTTAATGTCTGGACAAAATATAAAGACTTGCTGGAAAATAAAACACCAAGGTGGCTTTCACCTTTGGAAGCTAAGGCTCGAAAAGACCCAATATGGAGGCCACATGGCCAAAATATTGGGAAATACTAGAAAAGATGGAGACAATTGGAAATTGCAGAGCTTGGAGAAAATGAAAGACAAAGTGCGAGATTGGTTACACTATGCTCAGATTAAAGAAGTTTTTAAAAGTGATAAGAAACTAGGGTTCCAGGTGGAGAAATCGAAATTAGAAACAGAATTGTTAGAACCAAAGACTAAGATACTTTCAAGGATGTATAACTTGCTGTTGGAATGGAATACACAGGATGAAATGGTTAAATCGGCCATGATAAGGTGGGCACAGGATATTGGGTATAATATTATGTTTGAGGACTGGGAAAGGCTGTGGAGTAATGGATTGAAATTTACTGCATGTAATGCTTTGAAAGAAAATGTAATGAAAATGATTTATAGATGGTATATGACCCCAGTCAAACTTGCAAAAATTTACCACCTGTCTGACAACAAGTGCTGGAAATGCAAAGAGTGTGAAGGAACGTTCTTTCACCTCTGGTGGACATGCCCTAAAGTGAAGGCGTTCTGGGAAATGATTTATAATGAATTGAAAAAGGTATTTAAATATACTTTCACTAAGAAACCAGAGGCTTTCCTTTTGGGTATTGTCAGCCAAGGGGTGGCAAAGAAGGACCAGACATTTTTATGTATGCAACAACAGCAGCAAGGATACTACTCGCAAAACATTGGAAAACCCAAGATCTACCCACACTGGAAGAATGGCAGATGCAACTGATAGACTATATGCAACTGGCTGAAATGACCGGCAGAATCCGTGACCTGGGAGAAGAGAGAATCGAGGAGGATTGGAAGAAATTTAAGAACTACCTACAAAAACATTGTGATTTGATTGAATGCTGAATAAGATGCTGGACTAAATAACTGAGCACCACTTAACTTAGAAATTTTTAAGGAAACAAGAAAAATTGTGAAAGTTTAACTCTTTATGAGAACTTTAAGATTATGAAATATCGAAGAGATATAAGAATTTAAATAAGATGATAAATTGCTGACAAAATGTTATAATGATGAAGGTGGGAGCGGGAGATGTGAGGAAGTCCAAAGAAAATGTGAAATTATGTTAAGACGAATGCTATATTGTTTATTACATTTATTTCTATTGTAAAACCCAATAAATTGCTTTAAAAAAAAAATAAAAATAAAAAACTTTGCTCATCTGCAATTGTATCATGGGTGTGAACCTATGGCAAGTTTTTGGACTTCCGCCAGTGTATGCCAAGCCAAGAATTTAAACTTTGGTTGGCTTATCTGAACTCAGTGGGTGTCAGTGCTTAGAACTGACTGGCAAGGAGGGACGTTCAGAGTGCTAAGTTCAGGGAAGCTGAGCTGTAAGCAAATTAACTTCCGCAATTGTGCATTCACAGGCAAGCTCTCTGCTTTTGTCCAGCAACACAGAGTTAACAGTGAAGCTTCAAGCTAAGCTTTCTGCAATTTTACACCATTTTTTTCTTTTTGAGCTAGTGTTGCGTTTTTGTTTACATTCCCAAGTTTGTAGTTCTGTGCCTAGATTCAAGTAATATTTTAGCTAGTTATTCACTGAAAAAACAAGGTTTATTTTCTTAACATTATGTAATACATTACTGCTCATTCCCGGACGCCTTCCCTATATAGAGAGGTTATATAAACAGGGTTGTGTTCTTGCCCCAACTATTTTTGGCAAATACTTCTCCCTGGTAGTCTCCTATGCCTTTGGAGCAATGGGGGTCTGTTCAACCTGGCATGTCTCTGCGCCAAGACAAAAGTGTTGCGGGTCCTTATCCAAGAGATTTTGTTTTCAGATGACGCAGTTCCTGGAAACAGATGGTCAGGTTTTACATCTATAGCAGTGACCAGAGGAGGAATGGCCACTTGGAACAGAGAGCAGAAATGCCATGGTTCATCTGCAGCAGCACAACTGGACACCTTCATCTGCCTCAGCTGTAACAAAACATGTCACCCCTATATCAGTCTCTACAGCCACAGCAGGTGCTGTAACCTTCCAAAAGTTTGACTTCAACCCCAAAGGCGCACTCCTCCATGGTCTCCCGAGACAGATGGATTTCAACTATTCTTAGGGGCTGTGAAGATCACATTGACTACTTAATCTTCATACCATTGTGGTTTAATATAGCATGATTAATTTGGTCAGGTTAAAATGTAGTTGTTCAGTGAACTAATATTTACAGAAAACATCTCAACCTGTGCAAATTACAGTTGTTACAGCAATCTTCTAAAAGAAGATAAAGAGCATAATAGGGTAGGAAATGCATCTTAGCCAAATCCCCTTTTATCTATTATTTGAACTTAGTTACGTGAAAACCATCTTTTGTTAAAGTTGATTTGCACCTGCTACTTAACTGCCACCTAAACTTCTTGTTCTGTGTCTGTATTTGTAATAGGGTAATAATCTTTATTGAAATTGTTATGTGACAAACAGAGCTTTTATACCATAAGGTGTAAAATTAGCAGCAGGTGAATATGAAATTCTAAAACCCCTTGTTTTGTACATGTTTTGTGTTTAGGGTTTTTCAAGAGATTTTGGGAATTAAAAAAGCTTCATTAACATGTAACCTTGAAATTTTGGATCCCCTCCAAACTGATGCCAAAGTTTTGTGGTGCAAACCCTGTGTTTTGTGCTACCCCCAAACTGAATACAGTGGTACCTCAGGTTACATATGCTTCAGGTAATATCTGTTCTTATCCTGAAGCAAAGTTCTTAACCTGAAGCACTATTTCTGAGTTAGCAGAGTCTGTAACCTGAAGCGTATGTAACCTGAAGCGTATGTAACCCGAGGTACCACTGTACTCCAATTTAATCGCAGACTCTCTATTTTGATCTGATCAATTGTTAATTTACAAATTGCCAAACATCTTGTGAACTCTTCAGGAATATTATGTAGAGGGTAGTTATATATGAGGACTGTATGTCCATTTTTTATTCTGGAAATTTATACAATTTGAATTAATTGTTCATTCCTTATACAGTATCCCAGTTTCTCCAAAGATGATGATATTGTCAGCATGAAAGGAAGGCTTTAATTACCTGTTTTCCTAATGACCTCATTCTATCTGTTTGGAATTTATGTAAACAAGGGCTTGGTCACATTTGAATTGCAGAGATAATTGTATTATTCCACATTTGTTGTTTGGGTCAATCTTCCAGGGATTTGTGCACACAGATGATGGTACAATTGTAGGCCTGCCATCCTTTTTGCTCTTGGATATTTTTGGACCAAGTACAGGTTGCAGTGCTTCTTGGTGACAATACCATGTACTCTACTCCCCCCGGCCTTTATTTACCTTTGGATAAAATAGTCTGAATGAAATCGCAGGTTGCTTGTCGCAGGAAGGTATATATTTAAAGCATCACATAATGGCCTGTGACATAGTGGTGGTTTCCATTGTGGAAAATCTTGCCTATATGCACCTCACATTTTTGTTAGGGTATTCTTTTAGTTTATGTGTTTATTTGGAAAAATTACTGAATGCAAGCAATGCTTTGTTTGATTATGCATCTTGATCAATGTACATGATATTTTATGAAGTTCTGTCCCATCTCCATACCTCCAAAAAATTAACTCCAAGGATCTTATATTCTAGAACTTAACATTTGGAAGCCCACCCAACACCCATGTAGCTCCATGGACAGACAAGCAGGCAGAGGAAGGTGCTGGGGAAGGCAACAAGGTGGGAGCCATAGACACACAGAGTAGCAGCCTCCAATGGCTCACTGCATGCAGCAAATGGGAACTCAGTACAGTGGTGCCCCGCAAGACGAATGCCTCGCAAGACGGAAAACCCGCTAGACGAAAGGGTTTTCCGTTTTTGAGTTGCTTCGCAGGACGAATTTCCCTATGGGCTTGCTTCGCAAGACGAAAATGTCTTGCAAGTCTTGAGATTTTTTTTTTCGCTTCCCCCCCCTTTATCTAACCTGCTAAGCCTTTAATAGCCTTTAATAGCCTTTTAGCAGCTAATCCGCTAAGCCTTTAAGCCTTTAATAGCCGCTAAACCGCTAATAGCGCTAATCCGTTAAGCCGCTAATAGGGTTGCTTCGCAAGACGAAAAAACCGCTAGACGAAGACTCTCGCGGAACGGATTAATTTCGTCTTGCGAGGCACCACTGTATACATCTGGGAAGGGGTCCCACTTCCAGTTGCATGACTGGCAAAAAGATAACAATTTCTGGACAAAAGCAGTGGAGCTCGTGGGACAAATCCACAATGCAAACTCTGTGGAACAGCTCCCTATATCATGGGTAGGCAGACTAAGGCCCGGGGGCCGGGTCTGGACCAATCACCTTCTAAATTCGGCCTGCGGACAGTCTGGGAATCAGCGTGTTTCACATGAGTAGAATGTGTCCTTTTATTTAAAATGCAACTGGGTTATTTGTGGCGCCTGCCTGGTGTTTTTACATGAGTAGAATGTGTGCTTTTATTTAAAATGCATCTCTGGGTTATTTGTGGGGCATAGGAATTCTTTCATTCCCCCCCCCCCCAAAAAATAGTCTGGCCCCCCACAAGATCTGAGGGACAGTGAACTGGCCCCCTGCTGAAACATTTGCTGATCATAGATGCTGGGTGTACAGAGGCTGCAGATGGAATCCCACCTGAGTAAAATGTGTTTTGCATAAAGTTCAAATTCAGGGTATAACCCCTCACTACGTAAGGTGAAGTGGGGGGATCCTCACTCCAAATACGGCTCAATCAATCAGGAGGAATGCTGCATGAACCAATAGCCTGGCATCTGCATGGACCAACCAGACCTGGTCTGTTTTTGAAATGCGCCAAGTGCATTTTGCACCTTACTATTGGCCACTTGAGACCATATGAAGATGCCTGGATGCCAGGGTGGCGCCTGATGTCTCCACCACCTGGAGGTTCATGCCTGGGGATCTTTGGATCTTGATTGTTTTCACACACTAATACTACATCCAGTAGAGTTCTGTCAGTTATATTTTATCTGCACAATCAGAATGAATTTCAGGAACCAAAATGCTTTTTCTCTGCAGCCGGAGCAGGTGTAGTGAACAATGTTAGAATTAATTGTTGTAGCTTGTCTTCGCTTATCCCACCCCAGACGTATACTAATACATCTGTTAATCACAGTCAATCCATCATTTTTAAAAAATAAGACTTTAGAGCCGTCTTACTCCCAAATGGCAACTAGACATTTCATTTTGGTGACTGCAACCTTGGTCTAAGGAGCCATTTGGTGCCTAACATATATTTGAGTTTCTAACACTGCTTCTGGCCCAGCCTTTGCATACCCCTAAATATTTTGTGGATCTAAGTTTGGCCTCATTATCAGCCTTTGTGACGAATCCATGTGCACACCCTTTACGTATCCCTTTACGCCTTCCATCTACCCTGTCCCAGTGTGTCATACACCCTGATAACAGCAGATTGGGTGAAGTCAAAGCCATTATTGAACCTGCCCAAGATGGAGTAAATCCCAAAAAGGTGTGCATGAGGTTGTCAGTGTATCACCCCAGCAGGGCTCCTGAGCCTCAGGTTGGAGTGCCTGGCTTAGAAAAATACAGCAGTGGATTCCTCCCCCCCCCCCCCTACTGTGTGTCTGCCCTTGACAAAAAAAAAAAAAAAGGTGGACTGCTGTTCTTGTCCACAGCATAATGTTGTACAGGCACCTCCCCACTCACACGTGACCATGTATACACATGTTGCTGGTCAGTGCTTCCCCCCCCCCCCAAAATGTTTAGGGGTACTCTCATTTTCTTACTCATGTTGAAATACTGCCCCTCAATTAGGCCAAACTTAGATTCACAAAATGTTTAGGGGTATGCATAACCCTGTGTCTCTCCAGCACTGGTGCCGGTATATAATTAGATAGAATCCTACCAGGAAATGGCAGGAGATAGCTGGAGAGTCCTTGTGGTTTGGACATCCATGAGGATGTCTGTGAGGGTGGAGGAAGCCCCGAAGGGATCTAAGGTGTGATGGGGCTTTGTTTAGACTATGCTTACAGCTGGTGTGTGGGGTAGCGCAGGCTACAGCCGCTTTCCTGCTCATTCTCCAGCCTCCAACTGGCCCCAGAGCTTAAACCCTAGATATTTTGGTCTGGATTGGAGAAAGAGTGGGAGAGAAAGCTGGAGAGCAGGAAAAAGTTGGCATTAGAGGATGCTCCTCACATTACGTGATTTCACTTATATGTAGCGGGGCCTGGAACATAACCTCCACCTAAGTGGTGGGGATACCTGCATAAAGCCATCAAGTTTGCTATGTAAAAAATAGGCTTTTCTCCAACACACTCTTCCTTTCCAAGGTGCCTTCATGGCATTTCATAACTGAAGCCTTCCTGTGCTGCTTCTGCTATTTGGATGGGTAGAAATCCAGTATTTCAGATGGATATCCCCAATTAATGTGTACTGTATTCTGCAGTTAGGTCACAAGATAACACTTGATAATACTCTTTTTAAAATATAATGACAATTTTAGTGGATGCCTGGAAGTGCTTTGAGAATTTCCATAGACCTGTCTTTACAGGTGGCATATGGTCTTTGTTAAGTTTCATGTAAGATAAGTAGTCCAGTGGGCAGGAAATTAACATAGGCCATTTTTTGCCTGAGTACAAATACCACATCTGTTTTTCTTCCTTTACATCTTTCAGGAATGTGAAGCAGTAAATAGAATGGATCCAGTATCAGGTGCCAGATCAATTGATGTTTGTGTGGAGGGAATGACATGCAATTCTTGTGTACAGACTATCGAGCAGCATATTGGAAAACTAAATGGGGTTCACCATATTAAAGTAAGTATTTTTTTCCACATTGTTACCTGATCAAAGGGTATATGAGGTGTGGTAGGCCTTGTTCGGCTAAGCAGTTCACAGGATATAATTCATCTAAAGTTTTTTTGAAGAGCACCATCTGGGTTCTTGCTAAGAGATCAAGTTGTGCACTAAGGGATTAAGTTGTGCACTTTGGAAATACTGTTCTTATTGACGGGGGAAATAGTATACGTTTACTGCTGTTTTGGAGAGCATGTATTTTGGTTATCTTACATATAATTGCAGGTAAATCAATCATTTCTACCTTAGGCAAACGCAGAGCAGAGAAGCTATGTTAGTTAAATAGATTACGCTTGTGTAATTAGATCATAAGAGTGGCTTCCTGGTTGTGCTTTGCCTAAGGAAAATAATAAAATTTGGAATTAATGTAATTGGCTTTTTAGTGGCATCAGTTTGCCCTTTGGAAAATTGAAATAGTCAGAAAAGAACTCAGCTTGTTGAAAGCAAATCCAATTTTGAGACAGTTGCCCTGTCTGATGTGAAAAGCTAGTGATGTCAGCAAGGTTGTGTATGAAGTACAAATTATTTTCTTCTGCTACTAATTCATCAGTTCCTTATTCTCTATCCTAGTTAGTGAATTCCTGACTTTTCTATCCCTATTGAAAAAGATCAGGATCAGTTTTAAAACAGTTTTAACAGCTACAGTTCTCAAAATGAAATATATGCTCTCTTTTTCAAAGATCTCTTTGTCACTCACATCATTTGGCTGTTTTTGCTGGAACAGGTTTTGATTAGCTGGTCAGGCACCAGAAGTTCAGTTCTATGGGGCTCGGAGAAGGAAGAGAAATTCAGAGTAAATGTTGTAGTTCTTGCTGAAACCATCACACTAATCAGTGAACTAGAACAAGGTGGGTGGGTGGGAACGGTAACTCTGAAGACAGATGGAGATGTTCAAAGTGACATGGGTCACTCCTCCAAGTATGAGCCACCCAGGATATGACTGGACTCCTGCTGGACGACAGTAGGGAGCATGAATCTGGACAAGTGGGAAGTAACTTGACAAACACATCAAGATATTAAAGGGTCTGGAAACTAAGCATTATAAGGAATGGTTGAGGGAACTAGGTTTGTTTAGCTTAGAAAAGAGGAGACTGAGAGAAGACATGGTAGCCATCTCCAGACTTCTCAATGGGTGTCACATGGAAGATGGAGCAAACTTGTATTCTCCTGCTCTGGAGGCTAGCACACGAACCAAGGGATTCAAGTTACAAGAAAGGATTTATAAGAGCTGTTTGACAGTGGAACATACTCCCTTGGGAGGTGGTGGACACTCTTTCCTTGGAGATTTTAAAGCTGAGGTTCAGCTATCTGTCAGTGATGATATTCTTGCATTGCAGGGGGTTGGACTACTAGGTGATTCTCAGGATCCCTTTGAACTCTACAGTTCAGTTATTCTAAGTCTATACCAGCTCTTTTCTTTCTCTCTTTAACCTTTTAACCTGTAGAGTTTCATTTCAAGCCTGGTCAGTGCAAGGGACACTGCAACATGGGATTAGTATAATCTTCGCTGTATGTAGAGTGTTATGTATGCTTAGGGCACTTTGGAAAGTGCTGTGTGAGAAATTTATACTGTATTATGTGAGTGATACTCAGAAAGAATCTGGCCACTTTTATTGTGACTCATCTTGTAGCCAGTCATCTTGTCTTACAGATAAATCCAATTTAATTTGTGGTTTAATAGGTACAGTCTTACACTTCCTTCTCAGATGAGTGGAATCACGTGCAGGGTGTCACTATAATAGGACAAAGCTGCCTGATATGTTAATGCCACCTTGAGATTTTAATCTTTGTTTGGCAAAGTTGTCTAACATGTTTTTTCTTTTTTTCTTTTTCTGCTTTCCCTTCAAGGTTTCACTGGAAAATAAGAATGCAGCCATTATTTATAACCCCAAAAAGCAAACTCCAGAGTCACTACAAGAAGCTATAGATGACATGGGATTTGATGCTACACTTACTAATGCAAACTCTAAACCTGTTTTAGCAGACACCATTTTTCTTACAATACCAGCTCAATCAGCATTAACATGTGAAGAAATCCGTACCAACCTCCTGCAAACCAAGGGCATCTTGGATGTGAAAAGCTCTTCTGACAGAAAGTCTGTAGTTGTAACATTTGTCTCCTCTATTATAAATGGCAAGCAGATCAACCAAATAGTGCCAGAATTCAGTTCAGAGAATGTAGTGCATGAAATAAATCCTGGAATGTCTGAAGATTCAAATTTATTCCAAACAAGCGACGTTGCATTAAGGATGAAAGTAGAGGGGATGACCTGCCATTCTTGCACTAGCACTATTGAAGGAAAGATTGGCAAACTGCAAGGTGTCACTCGAATTAAAGGTAATTAAAACAGATTAGAGTTTGGTTTTTCCTGGCCTTATATGTTGCTTGATCATTTCCCATGAGTTTTCCAGTATTGCAACCCTTTATTTGGTATACCCAACTAGGTAGCTGAGTGGACTCTTTCTTTTACCCTATTCTGTGTAGAGTTTGCAGCCAAATCACAAATGCATGCTTTGCTGGACAAGCACAGGCTAGTACACAGAGAGTTCATAGAGAGGACCCTTTATGTGTCCACTTCCCCTGCCTCCTCTGGGCAGGTATTCTGTAACAAAGGAGATATTCCTTTATACTTTATTCTGCCTCTGAGGAGACTCTTTCCACCATGCCTCCAAACTGATCAGACATGTGTCTGGGGGCTTACAGACACACACTACCTATTTTGAAGCCAGCTTCTTTATTTTGTACCCAAGAAGTTTTCTTTCTGTATTAAGATTTTTACTAAAGTTATTATAATGCAATAAAATATAGAAAACTAATGTAAATTTAAAAAGAGACAAAAACAGCTGGAAAAGAAATAGGGAAAAAAGAAAAACAAAGAAGCAGAAAGAAGGAAGGAAAGAGAAGGAAAGGAAAAGGAAAGGAAATTTTAAAAAGGAGAGAAAGAGAAAAGAAGCAATAAAGAGAGATAAAAGGTTCTCTGATTTTCCATCTGCCAGTTTCATTTCAAAAAGTTATTTAATACGTTCATGGGAATATCCATCTTCTCCACTTTCTGTTAATATTTCTCTTAAGTCCAACTCTCTCAAAATCATTCATTTCCTTTTCCCTTGAAAAGTCCAATAAGGGTTCCTAATTATTTTTATTAGTAATAAATTTCAGCTGTGCTTCTTCTTTAAAGTCTTTCCACTGTGACCACATGTTAAAATAATATTCCATAATTCTTTTCTTGTTACATATCTTTTAATTCCCTCCCAGTTCTGTATATTCAATTTCCATTTTCTGTTGTGGTGCAATTGTGTGCTGTAGAATGAGTGGTGTTAATAGCAAAAGAAGACAAAGCTATGTTAGTAGACAGAGGCTCATTTGAGGGTGGCAGAACTCCTTCCCCAATTGCATGACACAGTTTATCACATTCCCATAGGGACAGTGCTCCTCTCCCTTTGAAAGCTAAACTCCACCATTGCAGGCATGTGACCCGTCTGTGTTGCACACTGTGTTATGCACTGGTATATCTGTGATTTTGCAGCCTTTCCCCACCTGGCTTGCCAGTGGCAGCAGACCTTTCAGAGGTGGGCAAGAGGTTGGATTATCCTGCTAACATGGAGGGGGAAACCAGAATTTTAGGTGAAACACCATTAGGGAAACATACTAACAATTCACCATTTATCTTCTAGTCTCCCTGGACAATCAGGAAGCTGTGGTGGTTTATCAGCCTCATCTCATCACATCGGAGGAAATAAAAAACCAAATAGAAGCTGCCGGTTTCATGGCATCGATAAAGAAGCAGCCTAAGCCCCTCAAACTTGGTGCTATTGATATAGAGCGACTGAAGAACACACAAACCAAATGCTCAGAAAAAGCTCCGCAAGAATCTCCAGAGTACACACAATGTTTGAAGACCATAACATTCCGAGTTGATGGCATGCACTGCAATTCATGTGTCTTCAATATTCAAAGCAGCATATCAGCACTCCCTGCAGTAACTAGTATAGCGGTTTCTTTAGAGGAAAAGTCTGCCATTGTAAAGTACAATCCCAGCCTAATCAGCATAAGTGCACTGAGAAGAGCCATAGAAGCAGTATCCCCAGAGACTTTTAAGGTCAGCCTTTTTGACGGACATGAAAATGCTGCACTTCTGAACACACCTAAATCTCCACTGAAATCTCCAAGAGCTGTCAACAGCATCATGCACCATCCCTTGACATGCATCACCGTGATAAATATAGAAGGAATGACCTGCAATTCTTGTGTACAGTCAATTGAGAGAGTAATTTCCCAGAAGCCAGGCGTGAAGGCAATACATGTGTCTCTTCTGAACCATAATGGGACTATAGAATATGACCCCATGCAGACCTCTCCAGATGACTTAAGGAATGGCATTGAGGATATGGGTTTTGATGCATCCTTAACAGGTGATAGCTCTTTAAATTATGCTTATAGCGCAAATCCAACTGCTATTTTGAAAGGTAGCTTTCTCTGGAGGGGGTTGTGCAAATCCATATGGTAATTATAATCTCTTAATACTGATTCTGAAATGGCCTAACCAGGAGTCACTCACCCTAGTTTTTTGGGGGTGGGGACACAGGAAAGGAAATATTGGGTGTCATTAAAGGCAGCTGATTTGGACATGGGCAGGTCTGCCCCACTGTGTACATTCCAACAATATGTTGTTCTGCATAGCCCCACTGAAATTAATAGGTCTATGAGATTGCACATGGTATGGTGTATCTGATTGAACGTTGCTGATGTCTTCAAAGATCTGGGAAGATGCCCCTCCTTCAGCTCTACGTGCTTGCTTTCTACATGTATGCTCTACAAGCATGTGCTTTAAACAATTGTTTCATGTTCTTATTATCTTAGAATATTTGTAGTGTTTCAACATAAAGGCTAGCAGCCACTCACAACACTACAGATACTCTGAGATAATAAGCAGGAACACAAAACAATTGTTTGAAGCACATGTTTCTAGAGCATACATATAGAAAGCAAGCATGCCCCCTAAAGAGAAGAGATGCCTTATGGCTTCTGTTTAACTGGAAAGGATATCCTAAAGGTAATTTTCCAGTTAGGAAGCATGGGATTTGCTATTTTCTCTGCTTCTCAAATTCAAAGGTATCTTCTGGGCTCAGCTAGAAATAAGGTAGACTGAGAGAGCTGGTATTTTTAGCTCCTTCAGATGTGAAATGAATGCATCCAGTGTCCTTGGGACTAACATAGTTGCAGCAGTTGTTCAAACACATTAAAATTATTCTTTTCTGTTCCCAGGTCCCACAAGTACAGAACCTTTGGTGCTAATAACTCAGCCCTCACAAGAAAGGCTGGCAGAATCTCAGGATAATAAACACTTCAAAATGGAAGCTCACTCCAACCTCTCCCCCGTCCACAATAAGCAGGATGCAAGTGCGCCTTCCAAGTGCTACATTCAAGTCACTGGCATGACATGTGCTTCCTGTGTGGCAAACATTGAAAGGAATCTGAAGAGAGAAGATGGTGAGATATACATTAGTAAAATGGATTTAAGTTCCCTGACACCATTTTAGTGATGCTTAACCTGACCATTTAAAGCTCAGGTGACGCAAATATGTAGGCCCTTCAGGGATTCTGATTATACAGTTTAAATTCTAAGGCTTGCATCTTTAGCAGGGATGAAGAAATGGAGTGATATGTTGTGGGAGTGAATGCCATCCTTTGGCAGGAGAAGAGCTAATAGCATTTGCCATTCATTACCATAAGACGTAACAATCTTCTAGTCTTCTCTGTGTCTCTTGTGGCAAAAAATAGAAGGTGGAATCCATAATGTTTCACTGCCAGCGATCAGTTTTTGTTCCCTCTCTAAACTCTTAAAGGCTAGTGGCCAAGAAATAGGATAGTGCATTTTAGTGGCTGCCTTTCAAAAAAGATCTGAAAGAGGATCCAAAGGCACTGCTGTCGCAGCAGCACAATGACTGTATCTTTCCCCTTCATTGCAGGGGTTTATTATTATTATATATTCAATTTATATGCCACTCTTTATCTGAAGATCCCTTGGCGGTATACAACATTAAAAACATAATTTACAGAGCATAATAATAAAAAACAGTAAAACAATCACAGAAAGAATCTTAATAACAGTTCCCCCTCCCCCACTTTTAAAAGGTCGTAGATTGTTTAATGGCCAAAGAAGAATGTTTTTGCCTGGTGCCTAAAGACGTGTAATACATTAGAAATTAGGAAGAGGATATGGACTGGCAGGGTGCTAGGGTGGTTGTTTGAGGACACTGTGGTTCCCATAGGTGCTGCATTGGGAACTTCCACACTAAACAATATTGTATACTTTATTTGTAATGGGCATAAAAACCATATTCACCTTTTTTTCTAACTTTAATCTACATTGAATATATGAAGTGAAGTGGAATGTGGAGAAGTAGTTATTTATCCTTTCTAGTATTTATAGCTTGTCTACCTGTTCAAAAAATCAAGGTGGCTATCAAAGCCTTTACCTTGACTCAAATTAGAGCCAGACCACATTCTGTGAATAAGTTGGCTCCTTTAGCTGTTGCATGTAATACCTATTATGTTCCAGTATTGCTGTTATGGCCTAATCTGTATAGAGGTATATGGCACAACTCAGCCTTCCCTAATGGGTACTCCCCATATGTTTTGAATTACAACTCCCATGAATCCCCAGTCATCAATGGAGTGGTGGTCCATAACATCTGAAGACTATCTGATTGCGGAAGGCTGAGCAAGAGCATCCCGCTGTATATTACACTCCTAATTTCTTTATGTAATGTTCCTTTGTGTGGCCTTGTGTCTCTAGGAATACACTCTGTTCTTGTTGCTCTAATGGCTGGGAAGGCAGAAGTGAGGTATAATCCTTCCATCATCCAGCCATCAGCTGTAGCGGAATTGATTAGGGACCTGGGCTTTGGAGCTACAGTTCTGGAGAACTATGATGAAGGAGATGGCACCCTGGAACTTGTCGTAAGCAAATAATTTAATAATCAATGCCACTTAACACTCAGCCATTTTACCTAGTTAGCTTTTCATACAAACAGAGTTAATTAAAGAAAATTCCTCTACAGATTGTGTGTAAGTAACTGTGATTCCAAAAGCATTTAGAGTAATTTATCTCCCCCACCTCCTCTTCCTTTGCATGTGTGAGAGAGTGTATGTCAGAGAGATTACTACTTGGCAAGCTCCAGCCATTAGCTAGAGACACTTGGTGTCTGTATGGAACAATTTTTGTCAGGACTATAGCAGAGGTGGAGTGAAGCTAATTCTTAAAATTTAAACTCAGCCTCCATGCCAGCTTGTGTTAGGGCAACAAACATTTACCGTATTTTTCGCCCTATAGGATGCACTTTCCCCCTCCAAAAATGAAGGGGAAATGTGTGTGCGTCCTATGGGGCGAATGCAGGCTTTCGCTGAAGCTTGGAGAGCGAGAGGGGTCGGTGCGCACCGACCCCTCTCGCTCTACAGGCTTCAGGAAGCTATCAGCAAGCCTGGGGACCCCGCGGGAGTTCCCGCAGGGCTCCCTAGGCTGCGGATAGCAGCCTGCTGCACGGAGCGCGGGGAGCGCTGAAGCAGAGCGCCCCGCACTTCGGGCAGACATCGGGCAGCCCCACAAGCTCGGGGGACAGCGGGGAGGCGGAGCGCCGCCATCCCGCTGTTCCCTGACCTGGTTTGGATTCCCCGACCTCGTTTTGGGGGGGAAATGAAGGGAAAAAAATTTTCCTTTATTTTCCCCCCAAAAAACTAGGTGCGTCCTATGGGACGAAAAATACGGTAATCAAGTTTTCAGTATAAAAAAGGGGGGGCGGAATTAAGAGAGGGGAAGTCTGATCTCATGCCCATTTGTGCCACATTTCTAGGCACAAGTCCATCCTTTAAAGCTCTGTGTCAGAGTGTTGTTGTTGTTGTTGGCACTTTCTCCATGAAAACCCTCTCCAGACTGCAGAATCGGAGCAAAAGACATCCCACAGAAAACCCAAGTTGCCATTTGTTCTAAGTCAGTGCTAAGGAGCAGGTTTTCCTAGGGAAAGTGGTGGTGGGGGGAATGGTCTTGGACATGAAGCTTTAAAGTGCAGATATGTGCCTTGAAAGCGTGGGGGTAGAGGTAAGTGTGAATGAGCCCTTTGCCTTGGCAGCTCAAGTTTATATTTTATTTTGGTGTGTCTGATTCATAATACAATTGAGCAACAGTATTCTCTGCTGGCCAGCTAGGTTTACGTTTATACTTTATTTATTTATTTCACAACATTTATACACTGCTTGATTGTAAAAAAACCTTGAAGTGGTTTATAAAAGATAAAAAGTAAAATAAAAAAAATATTTACAACTTTAAGGTGCATCGGTTTATAAAAAAGTATTGTGCCTTCCTTCTGAAATACTTGGTGTACTATGTAAATTAAAATAACACTGTGAAACAGTTGTGCTACACAATCAATAAAATAAAGTTAGTGCAATTTTGGGTCATTGACTGGGAACAGTGCCATCTTCCGATTGGAATTACTTATCAACTTACTTATTTATGATGCATGCAAAATTATCTCTGGAGAGAATATTCTGCAAACAATAAACTTTTGTTTTAACAGGTGAGGGGAATGACATGTGCCTCATGTGTTCATAAAATAGAATCCACGCTTATGAAAACAAAAGGGATTCTGTACAGCTCTGTAGCACTTGCAACAAATAAAGCACATATTAAGTATGATCCTGAGATAGTTGGCCCAAGAGATATTATACGGATTATAGAGGTAAGTAGTCTTGTGAATGTAGCAATTTGATGGCTCATTTTTCACATATAATACTACCGTGTTAGTGGAACATATTTTGCAGCTGAAGATTGTTGGGCCCATTGTGGATAGTAAAGATACCAGTATAAAGATAATTGTAATCTTGGAGACTTTGTCTCTGCCCCTGTCTTGCTCCCCCAACTCTTAACTTTTTCAGTTACCTTTCTTTCTTCATGCTTCCATCTTTATTTCCTCATGTTTGTCTGCTTTGATCATGGACAGGGAACATTTTTGGTTCCACAGGCCACATTCTTCCACAGGCCTCATGGGCCAATCTGACAGTTGGGGGCCTCATTTTCTGGTCAATCGCAGGATGTCATATAATGACACTGTGATTGACTGTTGGGTTGTCGTGCCCACCTATGAGCATCCCTTGCAGGGTTCTGGAGCACCAGCAGCTGCTCAAGGACACACAAGAGAGAAGCCTGCATTTTAAAATATTCCCCCTCTTGCTGCTGCTGTGTGAAGCCAGAGAAGGAGATAACTTTAAAATGCAGACTTCTTTCCATTGCTTCCCACACGGGGCAGTGGGACAGGTGAATGGGAGTGAGAGAAAATTACCTCAGCCTGTTTGTGAGCCTCCCCACTGGTCTCCAATCCTGACGTTGCAAGTTGAAAGGAAAAACATGGGAAGATTTGCAAACCACCCCGTCTGGCTCCTTTTCTCCTAGGATGTCAGAGGTGGAAATTAGCTGTGCAGGGAGGCTTAGAGAGAGAAGTAGTTTCCAGTGACTGGAACTACTACTCCCTCCTTCAGCTGATGGGCCATTGGGAGCATGCCTCGCTCAAGCAAAGGAACATGTGAGAGCCCACTTTAAGATCCTGATGGTTCTTTTGAAGCTCTGCTCTTACCTGCCTCACAACTGATGTCATATATGATGTCTGGTATGGGGGAGGTGTGTATGGCCTCTCCAAACAGGCTTGCAGGCCAAAGGGAGATGACTGGCAGGCCAAGTTTGGCCTGCAGACCAGAGGATCCCCATCTCTGGTTTAGATTGGCCAAAACCTTCCTGTAGGTAGGTGTACATTGTTTTATGTTGCATATTGTACAGCACCATGTTTTTAAGGTGTTTATTATTAGCAGTATATGCACAGGTGATATGCAGATATCCAGACAACTGCATGGTATCCTCAAGAAGCATGATGTGTTTGAGTCAAATGTTTGCATCATTTACTGAAATACAGTTAAAACTCCTCTAACATTTTGAAACAGCTTTGTGGGAGGGATCTGCTCTCTTGCACTCTGAATGTGTTTTTCCCTAGCTTTCAAAACTGACTGCAACATTTGTACACTACAATAAATCTAACCCCCCCCCCCTTTTTTTTTTAGAATTTAGGATTTAATGCTGTGCTGGTGAAGAAAGATAGATCTGCTAGTCACTTAGATCACAAACAGGAGATAAGGCAGTGAGTATTCTTTTATTCGTACTCCAATCCCATTCAAGATGTTTGATTCCTTCTGTGAGAATCCAGAATGCAGTTCTGTTATAAAGCAGGGCTGGGGAACCTTTTGCTTCCAAAGAGCTCTATTTCCTCAGAAGCATTTCAATGGGCTGCATGTTCCTATCAGTCCATGATTCATGAATATTCTCTTTCATTCACTTTGGATGTGTACACACTGTACCTTTAAAGCACATTTCCCCCCTAAATGAATTCAGGGCCCTGTATTTAGTTAAAGGAATTGTAATTCTGTGAGGATTAAACTACAACGCCCAAAATTCTTTGAACGGTGGAAATGCACTTCGCATGTTCTTTAAAGCCAATAGAGTACACACAGCCTAATTGCAATTTGCATTGAGCAAAAAAAATTCCCTTTGGTTCTTCTTTTCCCAGTAGACTGCCAGCATGAGGGCCAGTCTGAATCAGGATCCTGGGCTAGAGGTCTTTAAACCATAGCCTCCTGCTGCACCTGCAACTTACATTGATGGGCTGGGGGAGACCTTCCATTAAAGTGAATCATACACCCTACTAAATGCTTCCTGTCATGCTCAAGGTGCTAGATGCATGAATTTTTCTCCATAGTCAAACACTTTCCTTTCAATGTTGTTATGATTTCTTCACTATTATCTTGTTCTCTTATTTATTAAGATGGAAACGATCCTTCCTTGTAAGCCTAATTTTCTGCATTCCTGTAATGGGACTGATGATTTACATGATGGTTATAGACAGCCAGATGTCATCCATGCACAAGGTTGCGAACATGACCAAAGAAGAAATGGAAGCATATCATTCATCAATGTTCTTAGAGCGCCAAATCCTTCCCGGCTTGTCTGTTATGAATTTGCTCTCCTTTCTGTTGTGTGTCCCTGTGCAGGCAAGTAGGAATAAATCAAATGCTAGTGTAATAGTATTTAAATTTCATGCCAAGATTCCTTTGAATGAACCATATGGAATAAAGCAGGTGGACAAACTTGCTGCCAACCCTTGGACTAATTTCTTGAGCGTGCTTGGGGGTGGGGAATGGCACAGAGATAAGGGAAGAAAAGGGGATGCCCTGCCCATTTTAGATCCAGCCCCCAGCGTATTATCCCTTGGGGAATGCTGTTCCCACAAGATGCAGTGATGGCCACTGAGCTGCCGTATTTTTCACTCTATAAGATGCACCTGACCATAAGACGCACCTAGATTTTAGAGGAGGAAAACAAGAAAAAAAATATTCTGAATCAAATATTGTACTAAACTATTTAATAAACTTAGGGGCGATGGGCGTTGTAGTTGAACAACATCTGGGGACCCACAGGTTGACAAAGGCTGAATTATGGTATGTGAGTTGGGGCCTACCTGGCCTCTCTCCCCCCCCCCCATATTTTATTCAAGTTGGAAGAGGGAGGGAGGGAAGGAAGGAAGGAAGGAAGAGAGAGGGAGAGCTTCATATTTGTGTGTGCCTGTAGCGGGCAGCTGCCTTGCCTCGCCTCCGAGGTGACGCCGGAACCGGAGCAAAAAGAGGAGGAGGAGACACCGGGACAGGAGCCGTGTAAGCGGCTCTCCCATCAGCTGAGAGGAGGGGCGGAAGGGGCTGCCGTCTGTCCCTCCTCCTGCCTTGCTTTTCTTCCTTTTTAGGAGGAAAAAAGTGTGTCTTATGGAGTGAAAAATACGGTAGGTGCTTTTAGAAGAGGGTTAGAGAAATTCATGGGTGAGAGGGCTATTGATGGTTACTAACCAGAAAGGCTTTGCTCTTCCTTCCACATTTGGAGGCAGCAGTTCTTCCAGCAGTTGCTGGAAGCCACATGAGGGAAGAGGGCCATTTTGCTCAGTTTCTGCTTGCTGGTTTCCCTCAAGCATCTGGCAGGTCAATGTGAGAATAGGATGCTGGACTAGATAGACCATTGGCCTGACCCAGCAGGATCTTCTTGCGTTCTTATTAGCTGAAAGCACATTAGGCCCTGTAGGCTAAGTTACTTTTACTGTATTGCCACCCCTCTAGACAAAAATCTGAAATATTAATGCTTGTTCCTTTTAAGTTTTATTATGATGGAACAAAATGCAAGAATAAGCTCCACACTTCAACTATGCCTCTCTATTAAAGCTGAGCATCCATCAGATTTTTCTAGGCAGTCTGCTGCCTGTTTGCTTAGCCACCCTACCAGGGAGAATTATCTGAACCCAGGAGGAGAATGACAGTTCACAGATCTTATATAGTTATCAATAGTGTGTTTATGTGCAAAATGTAATTGTGAATTTTGCTGTGCTTGCAGTTATTTGGTGGCTGGTATTTCTACATCCAAGCTTACAAAGCACTGAAGCATAAGACTGCCAATATGGATGTGCTGATCGTTTTGGCAACCACCATAGCATTTGCCTACTCCTTTGTTATTCTTTTGGTTGCAATGGTTGAGAGGGCAAAAGTCAACCCTGTGACTTTCTTTGACACACCACCCATGCTCTTTGTATTCATTGCATTGGGGCGATGGCTGGAGCATGTGGCCAAGGTAAATATAAAAATATAAATGCTCATATATTTAGAGGGGCATTTATTAAAGCACTCTCAGACTTGGCGCTGCTAGTTTTGTAAGATTATCTTAAAAGTTTAGTGCTCAGTTATTTCTCAGTTACATGATGCCTGTTGGAATCCAAGAGAGAGTACAGGTATTCCATTCTGTATGTGGCAGAATTGTGTTAAATATACATTCACTGTTTTCAAGACAAATACTTCGGAATGCATGCTTCCCCCACACTTAAGTCCATCTTCATCCCAAGGAGAATAACAGAAGACTGTTTTACTTACTTAGAACTTATTTATTTGCTAGAAGCATGGCTTGTGCTGCATATGACTTTGTTGCTTGCAATAATCTTTTAGGTGGTACTTTGAATTTAACATATGTGGCTCTATGCTTTTATAGGGTAAAACATCAGAAGCCCTTGCAAAACTGATTTCACTACAAGCAACTGAAGCAACTATTGTTACTTTAGGCCCAGACAACATCCTCTTGAGGTATTGTGCTTTACTGTAGTTTTTAAATAATTTTTTTGAAAGGCAAGCTGAATACATTTCAGTATGTTGTGCTCATTGATTTCCACCCCTGTGCTCTTTATTTTTGTATGGCCCCATCAATATATATGGCATTTTGTAGAGAAATAGAAGCAGAAGATATTCTTTCACCCTAAATAACTTGCAGTCTAAATTGCTGGTATTTGGGGGAGAGAAAGATGTGGCATGATTATGCACAGATTCAGCTGCACATGCTGAGGCTTTATTTCAGTTGTGGATAAATAAGGACTAAGGAATTTTGTGTGTCCTCTTAGTGAAGAGCAAGTTGATGTTGAGCTGGTTCAGCGGGGTGACATTGTCAAAGTGATTCCAGGAGGCAAGTTTCCAGTGGACGGCCGTGTTATTGAGGGACATTCTATGGTGGACGAATCACTCATCACAGGCAAGCTGTGTTATATTTATTTCAACGGGTGCTTGAAACTAACTAATGGTGTGGGTAGGAAGGAAAAGAGACAAAATGAAAATTAAGACTAGGGGATGAGAGGGGGAAATGCAAAGAATTGTGTCTCTTAATGTTTTGCTGGCAAATCAATTTATGCAGGTGAAGCTATGCCTGTGACTAAAAAACCCGGCAGTACAGTCATTGCAGGCTCTATTAACCAGAATGGATCATTGCTGATCTCTGCAACCCACGTTGGATGTGACACTACTCTCTCCCAGATCGTCAAACTTGTGGAAGAAGCACAGACATCCAAGGTACTTTCAATAAGCAATAGTAGAAAGGAAGTAAAGTTTTTCAGCCTGTTTCTTCAGCTTTGATTCAGTACAACAAATTTATGAATCAAATTTGACATCATTACATGCTTACTTATTGGTCTTCAGCAGAGAGGCAACTTAAAATTCCCATACTTATAGGTCTCACATTCTCTGATCATGGCAGTTGGTAAGCAGACTGTAAAGCAAATCATTTTGTGTAATTTGGAAGCTATTCAAGCAAAGCATTGCAAAAAAGATGTATTGTTAGGACTGCAGAAAAAGATACATGTGCAAAGGTGCTAGTGATGGGAAGCTTCCTGTTATTCAGAGTGAATTTGCTATTTAGGCAAATGTGTAGACCAGGGACGGCCATCTTTCAAAAGACTGCAACCAACTCACACAATTAAAAACTGGCAGTGAACTACCCCTTTTGGGGGGGTTCAGGTCAAAGTTGTTGAGCTTTTCTTCTTTTTAGGGAGGGAAGCCCCATTTTGGGGGGGGGGAGATCACTAATGAAACAGCAGCAAGTGCTCCTTCTTCCGTTCCAGAAATCTAGAGGGCAGAGCTGGATGGAGGAGCCAGCGATCAACTGCGATCTACCAAAACCTCCTGGGGATCATCCAGTAGATCGACCTGTTGGACATCCCTGGTATAGACAATCTCTGAGACAACCTCATGCCTCAGAGAAGATAGCTAGAATTTATTTTCTTTTTCTCTCCCTGTGCTTTAGGCTCCAATTCAGCAGTTTGCAGACAAACTTAGTGGCTACTTCGTTCCATTTATTGTTGGTGTTTCTGTGCTTACACTTTTTGCCTGGATAGTGATCGGATTTGTTGATTTCGAAATTGTGGAAACCTATTTTCTTGTAAGTCTAGTATTCTTTTTTGGGGAAGATTTGTTTCACTTCCAGGTTTCAACCCTTTAATGCTGTTGACACTCCCGACATTGTCTTTGGAAGTAATGCAGGGCTGGAAAATCTTATTGGCTCAGCAGACCAGATCCTTATAAAGATCTGCCTTGCAGGGCCATCCACCTGTCAGTCGGGAGATGTCACAAATGATGCCAGGGGATTCGGTGCTTTGAAGCCAGGACACCAAAGCCCAGCCAAATTGAGCATGTTGGGTGAGGTAGAAAGAGTTTCTTGTAGGGAGCTCTCGTGCTCCTGAATCAAGCTGGATTGATCTCCCTTCATGTTGGCCAATGGAGAGAGAGGTCACTTCTGCTTATCGCTGAAGTGCATGGAGCTGCCTCAAAGAGGAGTCCTGGGAAGCAGGAACACTTCTCTCTCCCAGTGCTGCTTTTGGAAGCATGTCCAGTGAAAACAAGCAGCCCCCTTTCCCTTCAAGCATGGAAGTAGGGTGGGAACATTTGCGGTTATTCTTGATGTGCTTATCAATTGACCAATCTGTTTACATGCAGTTTTTAATGAGGGCATGACGGGGAATTACTAGCCTTAAAAAGGATAATGGATTTAATTACATGATTTATATGAGCACCGAGGGGCAAATGTAGGTTTGCAGAGGCAATTATAACTTTTTAGAATTTTAAACCTTGAAATTTTATTTAATTGTACTTATAGTCTACCTCTTCTCAAGCACTCCAGTTGGCTCAATATACAATTTCAACAAATGCTTCTTGTGTAGCTTTTGGAAGTACACCCAGATTCATGCTTAGTTAAGTGTCAAGTGAAACACAGAAGCAAATTCCCAAGTTGAGGTCCAGCCACCGAGAGTGCCCAGCCTTGAAACCTGGAAATACAGGTGAAACTCGAAAAATTGGAATATCATGGAAAAGTTCATTTATTTCAGTAATTCATCTTAAAAGGTGAAACTAATATATGAGATAGACTCATGACATGCAAAGCGAGATATGTCAAGCCTTTATTTGTTATAATTGTGATGGTTATGGCGTACAGCTGATGAAAACCCCAAATTAACAATCTCAGAAAATTAGAATATTGTGAAAAGGTGCAGTAGCTATTCAATCCATAACACCTGCAATGGGTTCCTGAGACTTTAAATGGTCTCTCAGTCTGGTTCAGTAGGAAGCACAATCATGGGGAAGGCTGCTGACCTGACAGTTGTGCAGAAAGCCATCATTGAGACCCTCCATAAGGAGGGAAAGCCTCAAAAGGTAATTGCAGAAAAAGGTGCACAAGCAGCAGAGATGACCGCAGCCTGGAGAGGAAAAGACCATTCAAACGTGTTGGGGACTTTCACAAGGAGTGGGATGAGGCTGGAGTTAGTTCATCAAGAGCCACCACACACAGATGGATCCTGGAGATGGGCTTCAAGTGTTGTATTCCTCTTGTCAAGCCGCTCCTGAACAAGAAACAACGTCAGAAGCGTCTTACCTGGGCTAAAGAAAAAAAAGAACTGGTCTGTTACTCAGTGGTCCCAAGTCCTCTTTTCTGATGAGAGCAACTTTTGCATCTCATTTGGAAACCAAGGACCCAGAGTCTGGAGTAGGAATGGGGAGGCACACAATGCCAGATGCTTGAAGTCCAGTGTGAGTTTCCACAGTCTGTGTTGATTTGGCGAGCCATGTCATCAGCTGGTGTTGGTCCACTGTGCTTCATTAAGTCCAGGGTCAACGCAGCCGTCTACCAGGAGATTTTGGAGCACTTCATGCTTCCTTCCGCAGATGAGCTTTATGGGGATGCTGACTTCATTTTCCAGCAGGACTTGGCACCTGCCCACACTGCCAAAAGTACCAAAGCCTGGTTCAATGCCCATGGGATTACTGTGCTTGATTGGCCAGCAAACTCGCCTGACCTGACCCCATAGAGAATCTATGGGGCATTGCCAAGAGAAAGATGAGAGACGTGAGACCAAGCAATGCAGAAGAGCTGAAGGCTGCTATTGAAGCATCCTGGTCTTCCATAACACCTCAGCAGTGCCACAGACTGAGAGCATCCATACCATGTCGCATTGAGGCAGTAATTGTTGCTGAGTACATATGCATGCTTCTGCTTCTCAGAGGTCCAATATTGCTCTATTTGCAATCCTTGTTTTGCTGATTTCATTTAATAATCTAATTTTCTGAGATTGTTAATTTGGGGTTTTCATCAGCTGTACGCCATAATCATCACAATTATAACAAATAAAGGCTTGACATATCTCGCTTTGCGTGTCATGAGTCTGTCTATTAAAAGGTAAAGGGACCCCTGACCATTAGGTCCAGTCGTGATCGACTCTGGGGTTGCGGCGCTCATCTCGCTCTATAGGCCATGGGAGCCGCTGTTTGTCCGCAGACAGCTTCCGGGTCATGTGGCCAGCATGACTAAGCCGCTTCTGGAGAACCCTAGGCTCTGTGGTTTAACTCACAGCGCCACCCGCGTCCCTTATCTCATATATTAGTTTCACCTTTTAAGTTGAATTACTGAAATAAATGAACTTTTCCACAATATTCTAATTTTTCAAGTTTCACCTGTATATTGATTTAGGTTGGCCTTGAAGTGGAGGTGGTCCCATAGATATGTGGGGCCCAGGCCACACAGAATTTTGTAGGTCAGCACCACACTTCGAATTAAGCCCTAAATAAATTTGTGAGCCAGTTAGTGAGTGGTCAAAGTTGCCTTAGAATAAGCTGTATTTTTCTTGTGAGCAACCCTTGTTCATACCTAAGCAACTAACTGTTTGTTTGTCAATAGGGGTACAATAAGAGCATTTCCAAAGACGAAGTGATAATCCGCTTTGCTTTCCAAGCCTCCATTACAGTGCTTTGTATTGCTTGCCCTTGTTCTTTGGGACTAGCAACCCCAACAGCTGTGATGGTGGGTACTGGTGTAGGAGCACAAAATGGCATCTTGATCAAAGGTGGAGAACCTCTAGAGATGGCTCACAAGGTAAGAAATCAGACTTTCCTTTACAGTTTGGCCACAAACTGTCATGTTTCTAAAAAGGATCTGGCTAACTTCATCCTTCCCCAAAGCTTGTATGACTTTAGTCTGCCAAAAAAAAAAAAAGGGGGGGTGGGGGACAGAAAGCACTTGGTTTCTAATGTGGTTTGCGTTCTTTTTGCAGGTTAAGGTTGTGGTATTTGATAAGACAGGGACCATCACCCATGGAACTCCAGTGGTGATGCAGGTGAAGATCCTAGTGGAGAGTAACCGGATGCCACGCAATAAGATTTTGGCACTAGTGGGAACCGCTGAGAGCAACAGTGAGCACCCCCTGGGAGCAGCTATTACCAAATACTGCAAACAGGTAGAGGAGCTAATACAGAGATTTCTTGATTCACCCTCTTAACTATCTGCCAAGCACCAACTTAATTGTGGGGGACATACAGCCATGTCTGAACTTTCCTGCCATGCAGTGAAATAACCGCATTTGCTACATATTCACACCTTATCTGAAAATGTTGTGACATGGTAAGGCTGTCTTTGTCATCAGATTTCTCTCTGGAGTGAGAGTTCATGAGTATAGGATTTTGAGCTCATAGCATGCTCTGAGGTAAAGGAACAGCTGCAGTATTCTGACCGGCAGAGGAATGTGCACCTACAGTCTCTCTCAGCATGTCATACTGGGATGGGGCCACCCAGGTTCAAATACCCACTAACACATGAAGCTCACTTGGTTACCTTGACCCAATTGCTCTGTTTTAGCTTTATCTGTCTCATAAGATGGTTATCAGGATGTCATCAAATGGGGAGAGTTGGGGTGGGAGAGAATCATGCATGCCACCCTGAGCTGCTTAGAACAAGGGTGGGATAACAATGTAAGCCAATGGGCACCACAATGATATTTACTACAGTATATTTTTAGTAACTGGTTAATTTTACTTAGTGAATTATATTTAAATAATTATAATTAATACAGCTCTGTGTACACAGTTCTGAATTGTCTAGAAATCTATGGGGTTGTATATAACTTACGTTCTGCTCAGAGAAGACCCACTGAAATTAATAAACCTCACTTGGCTTTCTGAAGAGCCTCATTATTTACAGGTCTTACAAATATGTGATTACTTCTGAGCATCTCTTTAGTCTTAAGCTCCTTTGTACTTTTGTTCCCTCAACCTACTATGTATTATTTATTTATAAAAATATTGATATACCACTGCATCATAAAGATATATCACAGCAGTTTACAACAATTTAAAAACAATAAAAACAAAGTTTAAAACTAGTTAAAAGAAAAAAGAAATTAAATACAAGTATCAATAGGCCATTATGGGGGGGGTATACTCCTTATTGCCTTCATAGGCCTAGTGTAACAGAAAAGTTTTCACACATTTAAAAGTTGGCACAGATGGCACCTGCTGAATCCCTAGTGGCAGGGTGTTCCACAGGACTGAGCCAATGCCTTTGAAGCCTCAGTTTCTCACATTACAATCTTGGATGTGTATATGCTTTTGCAGAATGACTTTTAAAGTCTAGTGTGCATTTACCAAATCCCAAGCACTATCTGATTATATATTCTCTTTAGGAATTGGACACAGACACCCTTGGAACTTGTACTGATTTTCAAGTAGTCCCTGGCTGTGGCATTAGCTGTAAAGTCACCAATATTGAAGCCCTGCTGTGCAGCAGGAGTGAGACCATGGAAGAGAACAATGTCAGGAATTCAGCCCTTCTGAAAATGGATGAGAATATTGAGGAAATTATGCATCCTGCCTTGATTATTGATGAGCAGTTGCCAAGTAAGTTGAGATGAATCTGTCAAATGAGCTTCATGTAAGCAGAAGCCTTGTTTTGGCATCTGTTGCTAGAGGTGCATCAGCCTTTCTCTTTCACTGAGGGTGGGATTTGATGTCTTCTTTGCTTTTAAAAAAGTAAAATAGTAAATTGTTCCTTGTAAAAGCTCTGAGGGGAACTGGGTGCAATTTCCTCTTGATTGTCTTTATTCTGATCCACTTCCGATGTAACTGTGGTTTAGTGTCACAAGAATGAGATGAAGTAAGCCTTGAGTGCATACACTACCCCTTTCCCTCCTTTAAGCACAACTGAAAGTGCCAGCTTTTGGTTTCCTATAAACTGGTTTCTTGAGTTCAGCTGTATTGGGAAACTGCCTTTTATTTGGCATCAAAAGTGAAAGCTTTCAGTTTTCTATCTTTGCATGAGGAAGAGAGTAAAATGGGGTGTATGCTAGCCCAAAACTCAGTGGAGCCGTAGTTTAGTATATTTTCCTACCTGGAGCAGCATCTCTCACTCTCTTTTAGTTTTCTTTAGTCAACTATTTCCCTTATTTTATCAATTTAAAGTATTGCAAGGCATTCCAAGTGGGAGAAACATGTGTTGCAGTTCTCACTGGACTGAATCATCTCTTACTGGAGATCAGGACGGATGTCTATCTGAATCTTTCTCCCTCCCCACTCCCAAATAAGCTTTTGTCAGGATTAAAACTAGACTCGAATACATTGGGAGTGCCTTCAAACATGCAATTTCCCCTACCTTCAGCTTGAAGTAATACGGTCCCAACTAAAGTTGTACCATGTGACTATGCTGCTCATGTAGCTCAGCTGTAAGCACACTGTTGCACAAGTGCATAATCTGGATAATTCTGACCACACACCTGTGGTCCCTAGCCATAGGTCCCTAGTGAATAAATGTTCGTGAATAGCCATGACTAAATGCTCCTGCAAACTTAGCATGCATCAGCAGTAGTGTGTAATTAACAGGTCACCTGTTTCTCAGAAACTGCAGTAACATTTTCCTTTCAGCTACTTGGGGTTCCCACAAGTATTCTGTTCTAATTGGAAACCGGGAGTGGATGTCTAGAAATGGTCTGCTTGTCAGAAATGAAGTTGATAATGCCATGATTGAGCACGAACGTCGAGGTCGCACTGCTGTTCTTGTGGCTGTGGATGGTAAGCTTGATAATGAGGATTAGGATTGGATTTTATGTGTGATACATTGAAAAGGCAGGGAAGAACGCAGCTGAGGAGTAAACAGTGACTGAAAAAGTTGTACTTCAAGCAATAAGGAGCAAAATATTTTGAAGACAGATAAAAGAGAGCTCTAAGAGAGAATTAGATAAATTTGTGGAGGAGACAGGTATCAAAAGGCTACTAACCATGAGAGCAGAATATGATAACAGGATGCTGCACTAGATGTGCCATTGGTCTGATCCAGCAGGTTCTTCTCATGTTCTTACAGTATGCTATATTTTTCTATATAAAATATTCCAGTTCTCAAAATGAATTGTTTCATAATATTAATAGATAATCCAATGTGTGGCTACAAATCCTGTCAAACTGGCAGGTCTAACATTGTTCTTAACTTCTTTTTCTCTGTTGACTATTCCTATAATAAATATATACACAAAGCAGTACAGTAATCCTATCCAGTGTCATTTTCCTTTAAACATTAAGCAATGTAAATAAGTATTTTCAATTGACTTGTGTCTTAAAATACACACAGGTCCCAGTATGTAAACACTTGTTATACAAGTCTTCAGGTATCTACACATGAAGGATTTGTAACCTAACATTACCAAGTGAATGTCTTGAATCAGATATCCGAACAACAGTCAGAGAGACAGATATACGGAGAGACAAATTTACAGATACACAATTGCATTCACCGAAAAATCCCCATTCCCTTCCTCCCTTGTCAACTCTTTGTGCCACAAAACTGTTTTTGGTTTGTGTTTCCTGGCTTTCTTGTTGAATAAATACAGGTATGTAGTTTAATTGTAACAGTGTTTGTGATTTTATTCATTATAGTAATGTTGTTAATGGTTTTACAGGGTTTTATTTAAACAATTTGGGGGCATGTTGTGGTTTTCTCCCTAGGAAGGAATGGAGCATGCTATGTGAGCACCTGCCTAACAAACCGTTTCACAGGAACAGATTATGTTTGCAAAGCAGGACCTGTGTGTATTTACAATTACTTCTATTAAAATGCTTTCCAAGTAAAGCTGCCAGTAAATGCATTTGCATATAACATTTAAGCGACATTTAATGTGCATTATTGATTCCCACAGAACCTCGATTCAGATAGGTTTGGCTATTAGAAATATTATTTGAGATCTAGAGAGAGAGAGAGAAAGGGAAGGAGGGCATGTAATGTGGCATACTTTTAAAGTTTTGTGTTCTGCATGTAAGACAAACTAAATACCAATAGTTCTAGGGCTTTGGGAAACTTTCTGGAAGCTTTCCGCCCAGGAAGCCAGTATCACTGCTGTCAGGGAACTGCCATCGGAAGGAAGGGAGGTGAAAGGACTCAGACAGGTTGGAAGAGACTCAGCAGCGGAAGAGGGAACCAGCAAGGGGAGAGAAGCTGAACTGAGGGAGGTGAAAGGGCTCAGACAGGTTGGAAGAGACTCAGCAGCTGCAGAGGAAACCAGCAGGGGGAGAGAAGCTGAACTGAGGGAAAGGGAGCTGGGGGGATGGCTCAGAGATACTTCCAGCGAAAACAGTGGTGAGGTTTCCGGACCTCCTGTTGGGACACCCACTCCTCGCCGGAAACTGTCACGCAGAGAGTCCAGAAGACGTGTTTCCGTTAAGGAGCTTTTATGTTGGAAGCGACTACGAAAGCAGCCACTGTCGGAATCTTCTAGTGACTAGAGGAGCCATGTCAGAGGGGCTCAGTCACAGACAGAGGTTTGTGGACTTGAACAAACTCTGAGGGAATACGATTTTACGCACAAGCAGCTCATCTTCCCATCACAGCATTCCGACAGTCTTTGAACGCAGCTTGTGCAGGAGAAGGCATAATGAGCAACCCAGCAGGAACCGGAGAAGCAGGGGCTGGAGCGGGTCCAAGCCTGGAAGAAAGGTACCGGGTGTTGGAGGTCCAGCTGGCGCTGCAGACGGCGAGGCTGGAGGAGAGGAGGGCTCAAGATGCAGACAAAAGGGAGAAAGCCACCCAGCTCGCCAGAAAGGTACCAGGATTGGTGCAGAAATTTGGGGGGGAGCCCAAAGACTATCATAGCTTTCGGACAGAAATGCAATATGCCCTCAATCTGCAGTTTGATGATTTCCCTGATGAGGAATCACGAGTGGCTTTTGTGATTGGGCATCTTGAAAAGGGGGCGAGAGACTGGGTTAGACCCCTGATGGCAGCGCATAGTGACGTCCTAAAGGACACGATGAAGTTCTTTCGCGCCATGGATCTGATGTTTTCCAGCGATATTGAAAAGGGAGTGGTGCGCAGACAGTTAATGGCTTGCAAACAGGGGAGCCGATCTGTACGTGAGTACTGGACTGAGTTCACCATGCTGATACACAGATTGGGGTGGGACTTATCGGCGGAACCCATTCAAATGCTCTTTGAAGAAGGGCTTTCTTCGGCTGTGAAAGATGAACTTTCCCGGGCGCCCAGGGCGGAGTCTATGGACCAGCTGACCAAATCAGCGCTGGCCATAGGAGCGCGCCAGGAGGCGAGAGCATTGGAGAGGCGGGAAGGGAAAGGGGAACGTTGGAAGGAGTTCCGCATTCCAGACATTCCAGAGCCAACTTTCCCGCCGGCAGAGCCGATGGAAATCGGAACAGCGCGCGCGCGCAGTTTCAAAGCCCAGTGAGGGGGAAAAAGGAGGGAAAAGGCGCCCGGAAATGCTATCTCTGCCAACAGCCAGGGCACTTTGCCAGAGTCTGCCCTCAGAGGAAGGAATGGCAAGGGATGGTGGGAGCTGTGGAGGGAAGAGAGGAAAAGATACCGGAGCAACTAAAAGCCAACGCCTGGCTGCCATTGTCGGGGCACAGCAGCCAGGCCAAAGAGCAGTGAAAGTGCCCACGCCAGAACCTCCTAAACCCGCCCTAGTGATAGAAGTGACACTAGAGCTGCCAAACGGACACCCTCTAAAGATAAAGGCGCTGTTGGACTCAGGCAGCTCCTGCAATTTCATGAGCAAAGAGTTTGCAGCTGAACACCAGATACAGACGCTCCTTTAAGCAACCCCTGCAGGTAACCACGATCGATGGCAGGGAGCTGTTGGGAGGAGAAGTCAGCTTGCAGACCGTCCCAATGATAATGAAGGTGGCAAGGCACACCGAACTCATTGCGTTTAATGTGGCCACCTTGGGAGGAGCTCCCATTATATTGGGGATGAGCTGGCTAGCGTTACATGATCCGCTGGTGGGCTGGCATCAAAGAGTGGTTTCTTTTGGGTCAGCACATTGCTTAGAACACTGCAAAGAGGGAAAGGTTTTGGCAGGGGCCCAAGCCACCCTAGCAGGGACTGAAGTAACGGAGAACGTGAAGGTACCACGACAATACGCAGATCTCCGCGACGTCTTCAGCGAAAGGGAAGCTGACCAACTACCACCGCATAGAGCCTTTGACTGTCAAATCAATTTGCTCCCTGGGGCACAGCTCCCTGTGGGCAAGCTGTACGCCATGTCAGACAGAGAGATGCAGGAGCTAAGAGAGTTCATTGACAAGAACCTGAAGAGAGGGTTCATCAGAGAGTCCAGGGCGGTGGGGGGCAGCCCAGTGTTTTTTGTGGACAAAAAAACACGAACAAGCCGAGACTGGTGTGTGACTTCAGGGCCTTAAATGCAGTGTCAGAACCAGTGGCCTTCCCGATGCCCAGGATTGACGACATTTTGACAAGGGTGCGGAAGGGAAAGATTTTCACCAAGCTGGATCTAAGGGGGGCGTACAACCTGATACGAATAAGGAAGGGGGATGAATGGAAAACCACCATGTTCACCCCTTTAGGGGCATTTGAATACTTAGTTATGCCCTTCGGTCTACAAGCAGGCTCCGCAACATTTCAATCGTTTATGAACCACGTCCTGGGGCCGTTGCTTTACAAGAATTGTGTGGCCTTCTTAGACGACGTGTTGGTGTATTCTGAGAATGAGGAGCAGCATGTGAGAGACGTCAGAGAAGTGTTGAGCAGGCTGCAAGCCAACCAGCTGTGGGTGAAACTGGAGAAGTGTCAGTTTCATACCAAGGAGGTGGAATTCCTGGGGTATCGCCTGTCTGACAAGGGGTTGGCCATGGATCCCGGCAAGGTCCAGGCGGTACTGGAATGGAAAACACCCAAAACAAGGAAGGATGTGCAGAGGTTTTTAGGATTTGGGAACTTCTATCGTAAGTTCATCCCAAACTTTGCCCACCTGACGGCGCCCATTACGGACTGTCTCAGCAGTAAGAAGAAGTTCGTTTGGACGGAGGAGGCGGAGCAAGCATTTGAGGAACTAAAAAGGGCCTTCGCCTCGGAACAACAGCTCCTGCATGTGGATTTACAAAAACCGATGAGAGTGGAAACTGACGCATCAGACAGAGCGGTTGGGGCGGTGCTTCTCCAGCCAGGGAAGGAGGAGTCAGAGTGGAGACCGTGTGCTTTTTTTCGCGAAAGCTGAACAAATCCGAGAGGAACTACACGGTGTATGACCGAGAACTACTAGCCATTCATGAGGCGTTCCGGAGATGGAGGCACCTGCTAATTGGCGCACAACATAAGGTGCAAGTGTGCACTGACCACAAGAACCTAGAGTATTGGAGGACGGCACGAGTGCTCAACCAACGGCAAGTGAGGTGGGCCCAGGAATTCTCCAAATTTAACTTTGAGATTTGTTACGTGCCAGGACCAGAGAACATTAGGGCGGACGCTCTCTCACGCAAACCTGAATATTTGGAGGGGGAGGGAGCACCCGAAGAGAGACATGTCATTCCAGAGGACCGCTGGGTGTGTGGGGCGGCATTGGTGGGACAAAGAGAACTGGTAGAAGAAACAGAGAATGATGAATACGCCCAGAATAAGCTCAGAGGTCTTAGGGATGAGGGAGAGGAATCAAGGGGTTTCGAGGAAAGAAATGGAGCTTTGTATTACAAAGGGGCACTGTATATCCCTGAAGGAGACTTAAGGGGGAGGGTACTCAAGCAGTTGCATGACAGCCCCACGGCGGGCATTTTGGGCAACACAAAACCATGTGGTTGGTCACCAGGGAATTTTGGTGGCCTAAGGTGAGGGAGGATGTACGTGAGTATGTAAGAGGGTGCGAGCAGTGCCAGCGAGCCAAAGGGGAAAGGCGGGCGCCGGCGGGGCTATTAGAACCCTTACCAACACCAGAACGACCTTGGGAGGCAGTGTCGATAGATTTTATGACTGATCTGCCGAAGTCCAAAGGGAAAACAGCCATCATGGTGGTGGTAGACCTACTAACAAAGATGTGCCACTTTGTAGCTTGCTCGCATGCAGTCACGGCGGAAGAGACAGCGAAGTTATTTGTAGAACACATTTTTAGGTTGCACGGGGTGCCATTGAGGGTGGTCTCAGACCGAGGAAAACAATTTACTTCCAGGTTCTGGAGGAAGCTCATGAGCTTACTGCAGGTGGAGGTCAACTTTCGACTGCCCGGCACCCTGAAACCAACGGGCAGGCGGAAAGAGCAAACGGTGTCCTCCAGCAATACCTGAGGTGTTATGTCAATGACAGAGAGAATGACTGGGTAGAAAAGTTGGCGCTGGCGGAATTTGCCTACAACAATGCCGAGAATGTGTCCACAGGGATGAGCCCTTCTTGGCTAATTATGGGTGTCATCCCAGGGCTTTCCCAGGGGAGAAGGGGAGAGATGGAGCGTACCGGCAGCCGAGCATTTTGTAGAAGAAATGGAAGCAATCCACCGTCAGCTCCAACTCAACTTAGAAAGGGCGAAGGAAGAATACAAGAGGCAGGCAGACAAGAACCGAAGGGAAGGTGAAACCATAAGGGTTGGAGATAGGGTGTGGCTGTCAACCCGAGGGTTGCCGCTCAAAGGAGGTTGTAAGAAATTAAGACCCAGGAGGTTGGGTCCCTTTGAGGTCATTCAACAGGTCAACCCAGTGGCTTTCAGGCTCCGGTTACCCAACCACATGAAACTGCACCCAGTATTTCACAGGTCGTTACTGTCACCGTACGAAGGGGACGAGAAGGGATGGCCACTCGGGGACCGGGTCATAGAAGAAAGAGAATGCAGCAGTCATGTGGCAGAAATCCTTGATGCCAGGTGGAAGGGGAATCAGGTGGAGTATTTGGTAGCGTGGGAAGGAGAACCGGAGTCAGAAAACACGTGGGTAATGGCCGAAGATATCAATGACGAGGTATTGATAGAAACGTTCCATCAAAGGTTCCCGAGGAAACCTCAGCCTGTGGAGAGGTTCCGGAGGGAATACTTTGGGACCACTGAGGAGGAGGAGGAGTTGGAAGGATTCCCAGAATCGGAAGGGGAAGGGGAGATGGACTCGGAGGAGGAGGAGTGCTTCGAGACCAGGAACCGCAACAGGTGGAGAGAAGTGTTCGAGACATCGGAAGATGAAGGAAGTTCATTCCGGGTTTTGCCTCCTCACCGCCCGTAGAGGAGGGGGCGAGAGGGGGTGAAGGGGGCCCTGGAGGGGAGGTGGATGTCAGGGAACTGCCATCGGAAGGAAGGGAGGTGAAAGGACTCAGACAGGTTGGAAGAGACTCAGCAGCGGAAGAGGGAACCAGCAAGGGGAGAGAAGCTGAACTGAGGGAGGTGAAAGGGCTCAGACAGGTTGGAAGAGACTCAGCAGCTGCAGAGGAAACCAGCATGGGGAGAAGCTGAACTGAGGGAAAGGGAGCTGGGGGATGGCTCAGAGATACTTCCAGCGAAAACAGTGGTGAGGTTTCCGGACCTCCTGTTGGGACACCCACTCCTCGCCGGAAACTGTCACGCAGAGAGTCCAGAAGACGTGTTTCCGTTAAGGAGCTTTTATGTTGGAAGCGATTACGAAAGCAGCCACTGTCGGAATCTTCTAGTGACTAGAGGAGCCATGTCAGAGGGGCTCAGTCACAGACAGAGGTTTGTGGACTTGAACAAACTCTGAGGGAATACGATTTTACGCACAAGCAGCTCATCTTCCCATCACAACTGCCTTGGAAAGTGAGAAGAATAGCCCATCTTTAAATTTGTGCAATGTCCCATGGGTGGAAGGAGAAAGGGGGTGAAGGAAAGAGGAAAAATAGTCTTTCTGTGCTCTTCAGAAAACAAAGAGGATTAATGGAAACATATTCATGTCTGTCTAGGAGAACTCTGTGGCTTGGTAGCTATTGCTGATACTGTGAAACCTGAAGCAGAGCTGGCAGTCCGTACTTTGAAGGCTATGGGTTTAGAAGTTGTTCTGATGACTGGTGATAACAGCAAAACAGCCAGGTCTATTGCCTCTCAGGTAAGCTGCTCCATATGTTGGCTTGCCTTGCTTCAGGCAATTTTCCTAATGCCTACAAGGTCCAAAGGTTCCCCCCTTCAATTTTTAAAAATGCAATAGGTTACTTATTTAGTCATTGGAGCATCAGTTAAATCAGTGCTACTCAAAGTGGTGGTCCACAGGCAGGTTCTGAGAGCCACCCTGGTGACTCCACCACAGCTCAGGTTGGGTGGGATGCTTCAGGGACCAGATATGCTACTAGTCCCTGGAACATTTGGAGGCAGGGATTGCTGGTCTACAGCATCAGATCGCTTGAGATGTAATGAGTTAAATAATGCTTTGATATTTCTAAGCAATGCCACTGATTGTTGGGGGAATGCTTTTCGAAGATGAGAATCTCGTAGTTCCACAGAACTCATTATTCTTAACAACTGTATTTTTTTGTGTCTGAGGAATCTTCTGGTGTGATTTTGGACTTCCTTTTCTTTTTCAGGTTGGCATCACTAAAGTGTTTGCTGAAGTCCTTCCTTCCCACAAGGTTGCCAAAGTAAAGCAACTGCAGGATGAAGGGAAACGGGTAGCAATGGTGGGGGATGGGATCAATGATTCCCCTGCTCTTGCCATGGCTAATGTTGGAATTGCCATTGGCACAGGCACAGATGTGGCCATTGAGGCAGCAGATGTGGTTTTGATTAGGGTAAGTGATTGGATAGAGTGAAGACCCATAATTCAATGTAAAACAAATTATGCCACCAATGTAACTAGTCTTGTTAATTCTTACTTGGCAGAATGATTTGCTGGATGTGGTGGCAAGCATAGATTTATCACGGAAGACTGTTAAAAGGATACGAATCAACTTTGTCTTTGCTCTCATTTACAATCTTGTCGGAGTTCCTGTAGCTGCTGGTATGTGATGATTCTGGACTTTGACAATATGTATAATATTGCATTTTTTTTCTTCCATGGAACATTAATTGCAAGTATACAGTGGTGCCTCGCAAGACGAAAAGAATCCGTTCCGCGAGTCTCTTCGTCTTGCGGGTTTTTTCGTCTTGCGAAGCAAGCCCATTAGAGGTTTAGCTTAGCCGGCTTAAAGATCAGCTGATAAGCGGCTTAACGATCAGCTGATAAGCGGCTTAGCATCAGCTGTTAGCGGCTTAAAGATCAGCTGTTAGCGGCTTAGCATCAGCTGTTAGCGGCTTAACGATCAGCTGATAAGCGGCTTAGCATCAGCTGTTAAGCGGCTTAAAGATCAGCTGATAAGCGGCTTAGCATCAGCTGTTAAGCGGCTTAAAGACCAGCTGATAAGCGGCTTAGCCATCAGCTGATAAGCGGTTTAGCAGCTTGGGAAAAAGGGGGGGAAAGGAAAAAAACCCCGCAGGAACTCGCAAGACATTTTCGTCTTGCGAAGCAAGCACATAGGAAATTCGTTTTGCGAAGCACCTCCAAAACGGAAAACCCTTTCGTCTAGCGGGTTTTCCGTCTTGCGAGGCATTCGTCTTGCGGGGCACCACTGTATATCAATTAACAATTCCTTATGTGGGAGAAATTTGTGTGTGAGAAAAAGAAGAAAGCTGCAGTTGATATAAATATGTTGCACAGAAAGAAGAATGTTAAGGGTTGCAACTGATACCCAAACTCATTCTTAAATGTTCATGCAAATTATAGTGGGTAGAAAAAAGGGAAGCTTTTCCGGTTTTTATTTATTTATTCATTCATTCATACATACATACATACATACATACATACCCTACCTATCTGACTGGGTTTCCCCCTGCCACTCTGAGCAGCTTCCAACAGAATATAAAAAAATACTGACATTTCAGACTTTAAAAACTTATTGATACAGGGCTGCCTTCAGATGTCTATTGAAAGTTGTATAGTTGTTTATTTCCTTGACAACTGATGGGGGGGTGTTCCATGGGGAAGGCGCCATTACTGAGAAGGCCGTCTGCCTGGTTCCCTGTAGCTTCACATCTCGCAATGAGGAACTGCCAGAAGGCCCTCAGAACTGGACCTCAGTGTCTGGGCTGAACAAACTGGATTAGATTTACTTGCTTACTTACTTACTTACTTACTTACTTACTTACTTAATTTTTGGCATTTGCATGCTGCCCCATAACCCAAAGTTATCTGAGTGAGCTGAACTTCAGAAGAGGGCCTTAAGCAATGGGTAGGCAGGTACACATGAGAAAAAACCTGGTTCCAACACATTTATGAGTTTAAAGGTTAAAACCAATTAAAAAGTGATGGGAAAAGTAAATGGACCATAAATGGTCAAGCTGGCCTTGCTTTGGACCTGCTGCAGTTTCCAGACAGTTCTAATTCCAGCTGTTTGATTAAACATGCAGTGTTACAAAACTCTACAATTGACACTCTAGCTAGGTCCTCTGCAAGTCCATAAATCCTAAACTTGGGTTTTGCCTTCAGCTCTGCTTTGCCCCCTACATAAACACTAATTTAACATGCTTTGATTTTTTAAAATGCATTTCAGAATCATGTTTGTGACTTTGTTCTTTAACATTTCCTAGAGTTATTTCCAATTTCCCTCCCCAGGTGTCTTCCTTCCAGTTGGTTTGGTTCTGCAGCCTTGGATGGGCTCTGCAGCAATGGCTGCCTCTTCCGTTTCTGTTGTGTTGTCTTCTCTGCTGCTAAAATTGTAAGTACAGTATCCTCAAGCTTCTCATTCTTACTTTCATGACTTGCTTGTGAAATCCATGGTTGCATTTTGAGAAAAATAATTTGCTCTTCCAAAGAGGATAACCAGCAAGCTGGGCTCTGTCCTACCTTTTGAAAATTCAGGTAGGACTTACCTGTGCCTGCAGTTTTCCAGAAGAATCCCCTGCCCCATAACTGCTGTTCAGTTCAGTGAGCTTTCAGTAATGTATTTTTAATGCATTGCTTGTCTCATTCAGCCTCATAACAACTCTATATAGAGCATGCCAATTTTTGCAGTTATTGCCGATTGAGCTCGTTAGCCTAATTACTGATTTGATCCTTGGTTAAATTGGGGATCAAATTGAAGTTGTCTATCCAGACTAACAAATACTGTTAGTTGCTGAACTACCATGGCTTTCACATTCCCACTTTGTCCTCCTCAGCCCCGGGACAGCATTTTAAGAGAAGGAGACTTTATATCCACACTTCCATCCCAGTTAGGAATTCCTCCCTTTGCCCAAAGACATTGCAGGCAACATAAGAACTGTCTGGCTCCTCAGCCTGGTCTGTTCTGGTTATGGATGATATTGTCACTGGGCACCTCTGGAGCCAGTCAGGGGAGTAAACTGGCACAGTTTGATTTGATTATTGATTATTTAATTTCTGTACCTCTTAATATATATTTTTTTAAATCTCTTTAAGAGGGGTACAAAAAAGACAACTTAAAGCAAAATATTACAGAAACACACAGTTACATATACAGTGGTGCCTCGCAAGACGAAAAGAATCCGTTCTGGGAGTCTCTTCGTCTAGCGGTTTTTTCGTCTTGCGAAGCAAGCCCATTGATGGATTAGCGGATTAGCGCTATTAGCGGCTTTTAGCGGCTTTTAGCGGCTTTTAGCAGCTTATCAGCTTATTGGATAAGCAGATAAGCGGCTTAGCGACTTAGAAAAAGAGGGGGGCATCTAAAAAAAAAACGCAGGATCTCGCAAGACATTTTCGTCTTGCGAAGCAAGCCCATAGCAGATTCGTTTTGCGAGGCACCTCCAAAACGGAAAACTCTTTCGTCTAGCGAGTTTTCCGTCTTGCGAGGCATTCGTCTTGCGGGGCACCACTGTAAAAATGTTACATTAATACAAAGTTATGAATATATAAAAATCAATATCAATTCATCTTCCTTCTGACACACCCTCCCTCTCAGCCTCTAGGTTCTCATCCAGAGTCCAGACTACAAGCTTTAATAATTATTACCTGAATGATTAAATTGCAACCCTGTTTCAAACTGATGCAGAGGTGATTTTTGTGCATTTTCCCTTCCCTTTAGCTATAAGAAACCTACCTGTGAGAAATATGAACGGCGTACCCATGGCCAGGTGAGGCAGAAGAGCCCTTCCGAAATCAGTGTCCACATTGGAATTGATGAAACTGGACCAAGATCCCCAAAGCTGAACCTCATGGACCGAATTGTCACTTACAGCCGAGCTTCCTTAAACTCCCTCTTCTCTGACAAGCGGTCCCTTAGCAGCATAGTCCTCAGTGAGCCAGACAAGCACTCCCTTCTAGTTGTAGATTCACGGGAGGAAGATGACACAACTCTCTGAAAGTCTTCTTTTTGCTGAGAAGTGGACTTGGTCTCTCTTCATGCACTGATCTATTCTGGAGGTTGACCAGCTGCACTGTGTTTCCGATCGTTTTGAATTGGATTTCAATTGCTCAGTTGACCAGGGCAATTATATCCCCACCCCCCCAAAAAATCACTTCTAACTCAAGAGGCTGGCAGTTTCTGCAGAGCTTTGCCAGTATTAGCAAGCCAGAGCTTATCCAAAATCAACACTCACAAGCCACAGTATGCACTGGAAGCCAGTGCAGAGCAAGACACTGCTGAGCTGCTGGGATCATGAAAGGGCAGTCACCAGCACATGGTTTCTAGGCCATGTCTTTGCATGCAATGCGACATTATTTTATAGAGTGTGAACAAGTAAGGATAGAAACCATGATTTCTTTTTTCCTTTCCTTTTTTTTTTAAACACAGATGTGCCTTATTTTGTAATGGTTGTCTTCATAATTTCTTCCTAATTTGCTATGTGTAAAATGGCATTTTTCAGAAAACATTGCAACACAGGTTATCCCATGATTTGAAAAAAAAGGAAACAATTCCCGTTATTTGTTTCTCCTCCCCATCCCAGCTGCAGAGCTATAGACAATTCAGTGCACTCACCCGAGGCTACTGGTGAGAACGGTGCTTTCAAGTGTATAGAGGAGCTCCACTCTTGCCACAGCCACTGCCACACAAAGAATCAAGGAGTCAGGGCCATGCCTTGTGATGTTTTTCATTACTCAAAGGTCTATGTCTTTGTAACTTCATAAAGATGGAGTGGCTCAGTCGGCAGAGCATGAGACTCTTAATCTCAGGGTCGTGGGTTTTGAGCCCCATGTTGGGCAAAAATATTCCTGCATTGCAGCAGGTTGGACTAGATGTCCTTCACGGTTCCTTCCAGTTCTATGATTCTGTGATCTGAGATGTATGCTGGTGAGTTTGAGATGTTTGAAACTGCAGAGTTTAAAAAGATGTGTTTTCCTTCAGCGCTTTCAGGGAGCTCCCATTCTTGCATTTCGAGTTTGAGGTTTTTTTGTTTAGTTTTTTTTTTTAAGGCTCCTGAGCATTCTTTCTTTATTTATTTCTGAGCAGATCACAAAATTTCGTCTTGGAACTTTTAATTTCTTTTCCGTTTTGCTCAACTAAAAATTGTCATGGTTGTCGCAATGCTACCGCTACAGTTACAACTATGTTGGCTTGGGTCTGTCGGGAGTTTTGCAGTTCAGAACATCTCGAGGGCGTAAGGGTTGGGAAGGCAGTGCTAAGCCAAAGTGCGGGTTCTGCATTGATGGGAAGCTATTGTTTCGTCTCCCTGCATCACAGAGTTTAAAATACATTTGTTATATTATTTAACTTTTAAAGAGATTTGCGCTAGGTTTGCCCACGTTTCTCACCATGTTTACAGTTCAGCAGGTCTTAGATTATAATCCTTTGGAGTGAATATTGCCATGTTGATGTTTGAACAGTGGTTGAAGACATACATTGTAGAGTCCTTTAACCTGATAATAGAGGCATTTTTATAGTGTTTAAAGTAGCAAGAGAGAGGACCACGGTTCAGAAATCACCAGGGCTCTTGTTCCTGACCTGCAGGGGCATTAATGCATCAGTTTTAGTCATCATTAATCCCATTCCTAAGGCCATACTTAGGGGGGAAATGAAGCCAAACTGCAGCTGTTTCAATCCCACCCCAGGTCATGATGGGATAATAAGAGTGCAGAAAGTATATCAGTGAAAGTCCACTGCCAGGGAGTAAGTAATCATCTGACTCAGAATCCTGACCCTCTCTGGCACATACCCTGTGCAGGTCTGTCCCACATTCAGGAATCATGCTGGCCCGCACCGGCCCTTCTCCTTGGCAGTTATGTGGCCACTCACCCCCTGCAGCCTCAGTTTGACTCAAGAGATTGGGTTTACCAGAAAAGGGAGTGGGGCTGGCTTCAATGGAAAAGCAAGGGCCAAGGGCCCCTTCCTGTCAATTTGCCCCCTTTCCCCTGGCATGTTAGGTGCCAGTGTTGGGTCCTGTGCCAGCCATCAAACACCACTGGCAAGAGTGGTGAAAAAATATGTGTATTTGAAACTAAGTAAATTGTGTGCTTTCAAAATCTTTAAACTAGAAATGTTTGTAAGACTGCAGCTTAACTGACCATAGAACACCATATTGACTGCCCAATAGTGGCTGGAAAGCTCAATGAAATATTTTCACAATCATGTTGCGTTTCAAAATAGTAATAATTATGGAAAGATACTGAGGGGCGAGGGTCTACAGAAAATAGGTTTTGATGTTTGATCTGTGTGAAACAGAAATCTTGGAAATAAATTTATTTTTCTGCATCTCACAGTTCTGCCCTTGAAGTTATATTCTCCCCTCCCTTGTAATTTACACAAAGCATGCTTGAAATATTAGTTGAAAAGAGCAGCCAATTTCTTTCTGATGGAATCAGCCTATTAAAGCAGAGCTGGTGATGGCTTTACTCTGAGAAACAGATATTTTAAAATTTTAATGGCATGCCAGTCTGGGAGCCTTTACTTGCCTGAATAAATATCCACTTTACTTGCTCTGCAGTTTCATTGCCCATTAAGCCTGCAGTGAAGAGCCATTAACTTCCTGTCCTGCCACCTCAAGAAAATCTGACCCATATGATACCTCAGTTTAGTTCCTGTTTGTTGCCTGATAAATGGTATTATTCTAGAACAGGCATAGGCAAACTCAGCCCTCCAGATGTTTTGGGACTACAGCTCTCATCATCACTGACCACTGGTCCTGTTAGCTAGGGAGGATGGGAATTGTAGTCCCAAAACTTCTGGAGGGCCGAGTTTGCCTATGCCTGTCCTAGAAGTATTACAGTTTTCTTCCTTTGGAGCAACGGTTATATGTCAAGGCTTGTATTGAAAGGGTTGATATCTAAGTTGAATTATAGCTAGGGAGAAACCAGAGAATTGGTGTAGAGGACCACACAGTCAGGTCTGTATCAGTTGACGGTGGACGTTTTTGTTTTTTGAGGCTGAACAAATCTGCACTTTCCCCTTTTGAAAAATATTTGTGACGTGTTTTGATGAAACATTTACAGGATTTCAGCTGTCACATCACTTTGATCATTCACAAGATAAGTTGTGGGAGTAGGTGCTATCTTTTGGCAGGAGATGAGCTATTAGCATTTGCCATTCATGATCATGTCATAACAATCTTCCAGTCTTCTCTGTGTCTCTTGTGGCAGAAAATAGAAGGTAGAATCCATAATGTTTCACTGCCAGCTGTTAGATTTGGTTTCCTCTCTGTCCTCTTAAGGGCTACTGGCCAAGAAATGGGATAGTGTATTTTAGTGGCTTCCTTACAGAAAAGATCTGAAAGAGGATGTGTTTTATCTTCTTTCTTCTCTATCTTTATTTTTCATCTTTGGTTTCCTCTGCTCTGGGACATTATTGGTGTCCAAGGATTACATACACACGAAGGTAGTGGATAATTGGTGGAAGGACCCTGACCGAGAGGCATGGAAACGAAGACTCTCTGACTCTCAGGGTTAGAGACTGGGAGAAGAAAGGAAAGCTCCCAGGTGGGAGCTGGGAGAGTTCACTACATCCTGTGTGAGACCAAAGTTACAAGCTTCCTTTGACAGAGGACTCTGCTTTTCTCTTTCTCTTTTTTTTAAAGTTTCTTTTATCTAGTTGTATTATGAAAAAGCTTTAATAAAATCTAATTTTTAAAAAAATGAAAGAGGATCCAAAGGCACTGTTTCCTCAGCAGCAGAGTTAGTGTGTAGCTTTTATCTACATTGTAGGGGGTCCCTTGGGGTCACTTCCAACCCTACAATTCTATGATTCTGTGGTGGTTTGAAATGTACTGCTATCACATACTTGATGCAGAAGCCCACCCAGTGTGTCTTCCCTTTCTATGTGTGATTTGCTAAACTTTTTTGGAATGTTCATCTTGATGCTTTGTGAATAATAGCTTATACTTGGCTTTAATTCAAAGAACCAAAATTGCTTTACTGTCTTGACTGTACAGTGTTCCGATAAAATGTCTTCTTCTTTCTTCTTTGGCAATCACTCATAGCCGAGTAAGATTGTCTTCCATGAACACGGTTTTAGCAGTGAGTCTGTAAGTGACTGTGGAGGCCAATTCTGGATTCACATGTCCTTCCACAGTGGGGACAGAGGTTTCCAAACGGGAGGTGATCACGGTGAGGGTTTGCCAAGCGTGCCTTCCTCCTAGCACGTTTCTCCCTTTCATCCTGAGTTCAAGCGTCTTCAAAGTCCATGAAACCTTTGGTAAAGGCTATTCTCCAAAAGGAGCACTCGCAGGCCAGTGTTTCCCAATTGTCTGTGTTTATACCACATTTTTAAAGATTTGCCTTGAGAGAGTCTTTAAACCTCTTTTGTTGACCACCGGCATTATGCTTTCTATTTTTAAGTTTGGAATAGAGTAATTGCTTTGGAAGACAATAATGAGCTATCTGTAAAACATGACCAGTTCAACAAAGTTGATGTTGAAGAATCATTGCTTCGACACTGGTGATCTTTGCTTCTTCCAGTGCACTGGAATTAGTTCGCCAGTATTCCCAAGTGATGTGTAAAACTTTTCAGAGACACCGTTGATGGAATCTTTCGTGGAGTTGGGGATGGCGTTTATAAGTGGGATCTCTTCTCTCTCCCAGATTTTTTCGATGAGCTTGTGAAGTTGTTGAAGTTCAATTCCGCCCACTTTGAAGACTTTGGCAGGTATCCCATCAGGTCTGCTGTTTTTGTTGTTTTTCATTTGATTAATAACTGTACACAACTTTCCAAGATTTGGAGATACTGCAAGCTGATCTCTGATTTGTTTTTGCAGAATTTGTGACAAGACCTCAGCAGTTATGGCGGAGTTGTGGTTAAGGAGATGCTGGTATTGTTCTTTCCAGCATGGTGGAATAGCTTCTTTATCTTTTAGAAGTGTAGTACCATCTGTTGAGTGTAGGGGGCATATGTCATGATTTATTGGCCCATAGATGGTGTTTGTGGCTTTAAAGAAACTATGCATCATGAGTGTCAGCTAAGTGCTGGATCTCTTGAGCTTTTTTTATCCACCAGGTGTTATTTAGTTTTCTGGTTCCTCTGTGAACCTCAGCCTTAGCGTTGGCATAGGTTTTTTTCTTAGTGGCGCAGTTTCTATCTCTTTGCCAGATCTGAAAGGCCTCCCTTTTCTTGTCAGTAATGCGTTCAATCTCACTGCCATCTCATCAAACCAGTCCTGATGTTTCTTGGTTTGGTATCCAATAGTTTGTTCACAGGCTGCAATAATGGATGTTTTTAGCTTGGTCCAGTGTTCCTCATCGTTATCAGGGAACTCTGAAAAAAGATGGTCCTTAAAAGTCATTTGGAAGCAATCCCACTTAATAGGATCTTGAAGAGCTTCAGTGTTCACGTTGCACTTTTGTTTCCTTCCTTGAAGCCTGCATTGAGGTATCTTGATAGCCATTGTGGAGCGTATTAATTGGTGATCTGTCCAGCAGTTGTCGGAACTTGTCATAGCTCTGGTAAGGAGCACATCACAGTGATCTTCAGCTTGGACAGTTACATAGTCTAAGACAGTGATGGCAAACCTTTTAGAGACCGAGTGCCCAAACTGCAACCCTAAACCCACTTATTTATCGCAAAGTGCCAACACGGCAATTTAACCTGTATATCTCATTTTTTCTTTGTGTTTCATGTTTCTTCTTTATGACTGCTGTTGTAATAAATAATCCTTCATAAAAGTTATTGCATTACATTCTTCATTAAATTTTCTTTCCATTGATATATAATTTTATGGTATAACAATGCTATTTTTCTTAAAAAATGTTTAGGGGTACTCTCATATTGACTCAAGAAAATCACCACGGGGGGCGGGGATAAATACAGTTCAAATTGGGGGGAAAATACAGTGGTACCTCAGTTTTTGAACAGCCTAGTTCTTGAACGACTTGGAACCTGAGGAGTTGAAACCCGGAAATGAGTAATATCAAGGTTGTGTACTGTACATATAGTCAAAAGTAAGATTCTGTACTGGTTGCTGTTGCCAACTCCTCCTTTTCCAATAGTCCCAGGCCACAGATCGAAATCTTGCCCAACTCTTGCATTAAAATCACCCAGGAGGACTTAGGTGTCTCTGATAGGATGGTATCCAGCTCAGAGTAAATGTTTTTCTTTAATGTCTTCATTGGCATCCAGTGTTGGTGCATAAGCACTTAGAATAGTAGCCTGCTGGTTTTTGGTGAGCTTTATTCAAATGGTTGACAGTCGCTCATTAATGCCGGTAGGGACTTCTGACAAGAGCTTCACAAGATCATTTTTGATAGCGAAGCCTACCCCATTTTTTGATGTTCTTGTTCAGATAGACCTTTCCAGAAGAATGTGTAGCCTCCTTTTTCTTCCTTCAGTTGTCCCTCGCCTGCTCTTCGAGAGTCTTGAAGCACTTCAATATCAATGTTAAAACGTTGCAGCTCTCTTGCAATGATGGCAGTTCTGCATTCAGGATGCTCATTTTCTGTGTTATCCCACAAAGTCCATATTCCAAAGTTCAATTGTCTTTTATGACCTCTGGGTGGTGACCCCACTGGGTGTGGTAATCCAGTCAGGGAAAAAGGAGGGTAGACTACGTCTAGGGCACATTTTTTAGCCCCTCCCCCTTTTCAGGGTGAGCAGAGTGGATCCTAAAAAGGGCTGCTCAGTCATGGATACAGCTGCTGAGCTGCTCAACTGCCACATTCCTTGAGTCAGAACAACTGAATCTGTATTCACCGCCCATGTGCCGGTTTATGACTAGGGGCTTCCAGATTTCATGGTCCTGCCCGCATTACCATTGTCAATCACCATGGGACTTTGGGGGGTTTGGGATGGGTTTTTGAAAGATGCCTGTGCGTGAATTTGTTTTATGTGTGTAGATCAGTGTGTGCTGACCATGACACAGTCTTTGCAGTAAGGCTCTATTCCGATGGCATGAGTATCACGACGATCGGTAGATTCCTATCTGCTGCAGCCTTCATCCGCCTTCACAGCCGTTGTAACATGTCACTTGTTATCTTCTGCCTGTTCTGCCGTTGCAGACTTCTTGGATCCTTATTTGCCTAGCTCCTTCCCTTTGACCTTACCGCCTTGTGTGGCCCTGCTGGGAGTCCAAGGCTTCCAACAGCTTCTTTCACAAGGGTCATAGGAACGTGAAAGCCCACTCACCACAGCAAGGTGATGATCTAGCAAGTGAGTCCGATAAAATGTACTCTGCCTGTAAATATGGTTTGTTTCCTGTCTTGAGCACATTTCATTTATTTACAGTTTTATGTTAACTCATGTGTGTTAAAATATCAAAAAAGCTATTTTTAAAAAGCTGCAGAAAAAGCTATGCATTTACATTTTATTTGATTTATTTATTGCTCTTCTCCACTGTTAGGCAAGATGTTCTGCTGTCTGCTTCATTTAAATTACTAGCCAAAAAGTAAATCTAGACATAAATGCAAGTCAGGGCTTCCCTTTCCTCTAGATCACATTTGGCTGGCTGGCAAACTGAATGCTGATTTAATCATCTGTCGTGTCCTCCCCTCCCTGTTTTGCCAAGTAGGATGTCTACCTTGTTAGTTTTTTAAAGTGCTACATGTACATTTATTCAGTTAAATGTACACCCATCTCTCTCTTTTTAGGTGTGTCTGTTAAAAGCAATTATGTTTTCTTAAAAAATGAAAAACTGCTTTCAGATAAGAGTTGGGTTGGTGATGTCACTGGTTTATATCCATCTGCTGCAAATATGCAGTATTGATGGGCTCTCCAACCTTTTCAGACCTAGGACCTACTTCTAACCCGAACATTCATTTGGGGACCCATTTCTTAATCTTTTGCCATATTTTTCATGGTGGCAGTGCCCCTGTTGCAACCCATATTGGATTGGGCCACCACCCACTAGCAGGTCCCAACCTACCAGTTGAAGGCCAGTGGACTAGGAGGTAAGATAATCTAAACAAAATGCAGTGAGTGCAGTTCCATTGGTGGTTCAATGCTCACATGATGTGTGTATGTGTACTCCTGCAACTGGGCAGATGGTTGAAACTTACATAGCATTTTCCCACTGCTTTTAAAAAAATAAAATATGTAGGTATTTTAGTACAAAGGTGACTCACTGGTGGCTTACACAGGTCCAGGATTTCTGAAAACTTGACTGAAGGTTGCTTTACAAGTTACATGACAGCTCACTTGTTTGTTGCGACCGCTGGTCCCACCTTCTCAGTAAGCAAATCTAACATGCTTAGTGTGCACACACCCATTATTATTTTTGGGGTGCCTTCCAAATGTTTTGGGTGAGCCCAGATTTGTAGGTCACCTGTGACAATAAGAATGGCCTTTCCCAATATCCTGTAAAGCTGTCCTGCATTTTTAAGGAAACGAGAAATGTTTTCATCTCCTTAGGACTCTGATTATGGGTTCTACAAAGTACTACTGTGAGTACACATTGGGTTGCATTTAATTTTCAGCTGAAAAAATCATAAGTTCTTGCCATGACTATATGTAATGTCTTGATTTTCAGGATACGCTCTGTAAAACGAAACAAAAAAACCATCAACTTTGTGCAATATTTGCTTTTAATGCATAATATTTTACATTTGGCGGGTATGCCACAGTTATAATCTTGTCAAGAATGTGCCTTCAGCTCTATAAATGTTATATCACAACATTACAAGACTGGTTGTGTGTGGATTTTTATTTGAAGGGCCCCATTTTGGTTTCATTCAATCTGTTTCTGTTCAGAAATCTCTCACCTAGCTAAGCACCATTCAAAATTACATTCTTTAATTAGCGCCACACCACCACAGTGCACAATGCAACACTCCTGTGAACTTTTGGATTCTTTCCCATTGCAATATATTTAGAAAGAAAAGGAAGGGGAGCAAGGAAAAAAGGAAGAGGTTCTACCTTCTGGATGAAAAGCCAACCCCAAAGCACCACGTCACTTAACTAGTATCTGTATAAATGGGTGCCAGATGGATTCATGCTAGGGTTAGCTTTCCTATATTCTTCCTGTACTGTCGGAGACAATGTGCCTCTGCATATCCATTGCTGAGAATCACAAGTGGGGAGAGGGCTCTTGTGCTCAGGTTCCACTTGTAGTTTTCATAGAGGCATCTGCTTGAGTACTGTGAGAACAGCAAGCTGGACTAGATGGGCCTTTGGCCTTATTCAGCAAGGTTTTTTAGGTACTTAAGCAATTTGTTCTATCCAAAAAAATCTGCTTCCAAACTACAGTGCAACCCAGTTTATAAAGCTGGCAATCCAAGGTAGATTTCCTGTAGATAGCAGATTGTTTTGCCCAGTACCCGTGCTTTCTTTGCTAGAAAAGGAGCTGCTGGTACTCACTATGAAGTTGTTGCAGTAAGTGCCACACTTTTTAACAAGAACAAAAGAGGTGCTGGTACTGCGTACCTGTGAATACCCCTAGAAAAGAGAACCACTGCCTCGAACCATATAGCTATATAATTTTAAGAGCTGCTATTTCCCCCCTCTTCAAAATGAAGACAAGAAGTTAAGACATAATAACAAACAAACAACCCTGTGTTCCCTGTCCTCCCCAAGTGTCCCCTAGCCCTCAAGGAGCTGCTATTTTCAATGTCTTAAAGGAAATCTATAATCGACAGGGACATGCAGGCCAGCCTTTTCCAAAATGGTGCCCTCCCGATGTTTTTGGACTATGGCCTTGTTCATTGGAGATGATTAGTTTGAATCTAGAGAGCACAAAGTTGGGAGAGGCTGATGTCGACAATGTGAAAAGGCAAAAGCAGAGGAGGGTGGACTTGCTCAGAGTTATAAGCAAAATGCTCTTATAAAAGAGAAACCAGTCAGGCTTCCTGTGGCTATAGTCCTGCCCTTGCAGCTTTACTCACTTTTCTTACCTTGACTGCTGTCATCTAATCAACCTTAGAAAAGAAGAGATTAGAAGAAAGATGGTATCACTGGTCCTTGACTCACTAACTAATCCTTGGATGGATGACCTGTGGTCTTCCTCCTACAATCACCCCTGTCTATAGACCACCCTGGCAAGGACTGATGGAGTCAAGGATGACCTGTGGTCTTTCTCCTACAATCATCCCTGTCCATAGACCACCCTGGCAAGGGCTGATGGGATCAAGGATGACCTGTGGTCTTTCTCCTACAATCATCCCTGTCCATAGACCACCCTGGCAAGGGCTGATGGAAGCTGGAGTCCAACAGTTGGAGGCACCACATTGGCTAGTCCCATTCTGTGCACTTGGTCTCTGTATTACATTTGTGCAAATAAAAGTTTTTGAGTGCATATAGTTAAAATCTGAGCACTGTATACATCTGTCCTTCACAAATCCCATGTTGGAAGCCTTATCTATATCTATATCTAGATCTATATCTATATCTATATCCATTTCCTTTGCTTTAATCTACATAGATTAGATACTAGAGCACAGTTTGAAGCATCTGCTGTCCTTCCTTGCACTGACAGGCTAGCTTTCATCTGCTAAGCTCAATTCAGCAAATGCAAGCTCTCATCAGGTAATATGTAGTACAGTTTTGTTCTGAAAACATTTGCTGGGTCCTTTCCCTTCAAAACTTGTAGGGGTGGGATGATAAGGATTGATCTCCTAAATATACTTTGGGTCCTACTATCATAAGCAGAAAGTGTGTGCCATAAAGTGATGTGGATTTTCAAAAAAACACACAAAAAGCACCCTCCACTGTCCTAAATCAGTTGAGTTTTTAGAGTACAGTGGTACCTCGGGTTACAAACGCTTTAGGTTACAGACTCTGCTAACCCAGAAATAGTTCCTCGGGTTAAGAACTTTGCTTCAGGATAAGGACAGAAATCGCGCAGTGGCGACTCGGCAGCAGCGGGAGGCCCCATTAGCTAAAGTGGTGCTGATAGCTTCCTGAAGCCTGGAGAGCGAGAGGGGTCGATGCGCACTGACCCCTCTCGCTCTCCAGGCTTCAGCGAAAGCCTGCATTCGCCCCATAGGACGCACACGCATTTCCCCTTCATTTTTGGAGGGGAAAAACTGCGTCCTATAGGGCGAAAAATACGGTAATTTTTCTTTTCCCCTCTCCAATTTTAAAGGTGTGGCTTATATTCGGGCCAATACGGTATCTTAAGTTGACCTCAACACTATTTTTGCAGCTGGGCAGGCATACACACACACACACACACACACACACACACACACACACACACCAAAGTAGCAAGTTTAAAAATGAGGTTATGCTGTAGGCCCAATCGCCTTCTCAATCTGGCCTGTGGACGGTCTGGGAATCAGCATGTTTTTACATGAGTAGAATGTGTGCTTTTGTTTAAAATCCATCTCTGGATTATTTATGGGGCATAGGAATTTGTTCATTTCCCCCCCAAAAAAATATAGTCCGGCCCCCCACAAGGTCTGAGGGATGGTGGACCGGCCCACAGCTGATAAGTTTGCTGATCCCTGCTGTAGGTGATTCAATGTAGGATCTCACTATTTTGCTGTAGAACTAGATGAGACCTAGACCATGCAAAGCCATAATCAATAAAATGTCTGTCCCTCTGCCCATCTATGGTGAGACATTAAGCTTCCAGGCAAAGGTTGGAAGTGAGCAGGGGAGGATGCTCCCACCCCCTATGGATTTCCAGAATGTTAAACAACTTAGATATTTAAGACAGCTTTATTCCTTTTTGCATTTCCAGACAGCACCCAGACCTGCACCAGATTGCCAAAAAGATTGATGAGCTGAGCCCACCATGGCCAACCACAGAACACAAACATGGACACCCTCAATCTGCTTCCTGCTGATCATCCCCTCACAACCTCTCTGCCAAGAGTCACATTCCTGAAACATTGAGCCAACAATCAGTGTAGCAACAAGAGGGGAGATGGGGGGAAACAGGAAAGGACTGAGCACCTCTGATGTCTGCTCTGGCTTGCACAAACCAGCTGCCAAAGGAATTTTTCTCTGGATCTGACTGGTCAGCCTGACCTTAACCCTGAGCCCTTGGGCTTTCGGCCAGTCTTGTTCCACTGTTAAGGAAGGGAGGCTAAAACTGTCTTGGATGCCTGGGCTGTTTGTAATGCACAGGAATGGGTGATGGAGACTCTGGCAGCCTCTGCCTGTTATGGGGAGGCAAGGCAGACAGACGTTGCTCAGCAGTAGAGCATCTACGTGGCATGAAGAGACTCCCAGTTTCAATCCCTGGAATCTCCAGGTAGGAGTAGGAGAAGACTCCTGCCTGAAACTTTGAAGAGCCATTGCTGGTCCATGTAGCTGATACTGAGCCAGATGGACCAATGGTCTGATTGCATATAAGGCAGCTTCCTATGCACCTTGACACACTGGCTGCCTTGGAGAGGAGCAGGACAGGCAGGCAAATCAGGTGTAGAAGGGCAAGCAGACCTGCCCAAGGACATTCTCCAGGAGCCTGAGAGCACAGAGTCCTAAGGGCTGGAGGCACACATTCAAGCACCTCCCAGTTCCAGGGAGACTTGGAGGGTCTGGAATTGGAACAACAGGTGATTCAGATTCTCCATGGATTGCCATTTGCTCCAGTTCAGTGGTAAATAGTGAGGTTTTGCAGGACAAAATGGGAAGAAAAAGAAAAAGTGAATGGACACAATGCTTTAAAGTGTGGGCCTGTGCCTAGAAACACAGCAAGAAAAGAAAGTCAGGGTGAGCCCTGAGACTAATGGGGAGGGCCAATCACCCATGGGACTGGTTGGAAGTAAGTAGGGAGGTGGGCTTGTAAGAATCAAGAGGTGGGGCAGTGCCTCATTTGCCCCGATGCTCCAGCCTCCAGTCGTGTAATGGTGGATTCAAAAGTGCACGGTCCATTCATGATAGCCATGGACATACACTTTTACAAAATAATACAACTGTTTAAGATTATACAATCATCTTATCATACAATCTTATAATCTTAAATCAATCAAGAATCTTAAATCCTGGTATTGACACAATGTTTTTGTATTATATATTTTGTGTTTTTTTTTATATTGTAATTGTGTGTTGTGAACCGCCCTGAGATCTACAGATAAAGGGTGGTATGCAGATTTAATAAATTGAATCATCAACGTCACTGACCTAAGGCAATCCCCTAACAGTTGGTATAGAAGTCTGCTGCTATCCACTATCCCTTTGTGCCAGTCCCCATAGTGCAGCCAAACTTTATTACTACAGTAAAAGCTGAATCCTACAGATACTTATATGAAATTTCAAATGACACTGTCTGCCCCTGGGGGGCAGTGAGGTTACCTGGGAGTGGGGGTCGCTAAGAGGCAAGGGGCTGGCAGGGGAGCACTGGAGGGCTACAGTGTGATTGCATACTATGCACATTAAATTTACACATTAAGCAGTTGCAAACACACACATGGAAGGCAGGGAGCTTGCAATAGGGTTGCCATATTTCCAACAGTGAAAATCTTTATAGAAAAGTTGTTCAGCTTTCTTTTTTTTTTGCTTTGCCCAAAGTTGTTGAGCTTTTTGGGCAAAATCACTTTAGAAAATGCCTTCCTTGAGCTATTTTTATGGGAAAACGGGCACTGCCATACGTCCAAATTTTCCCGGATGTTTTACCGATTCCTGCACAGATACTGCTGTCAACTGCAGTAGAAGAAGAATCTCTATTTGCATCAGCCACTAGCCATAGCAATAAAACTGAATAAAATGTCCTGAAGATACAGGTTAAAACTTAACT